CCGCTTACCCATCGATGGGAAGATCTTCCCATCGCTGGGTGGGTGGTTAGTCAAGAACCCATGGTTTTTGCCTTAACCACGGCCTAGCCAACCGATGCGAAACCCGACCGAAAAATTCAAAGTTCTCCAAAATAAAAACCAAGTGTTTAATACACTTATTTGATGTATTTGGCTAAGAAATCAAGTAAGACACTTTAAAAACCACGTCATTTGAGTGAAAACCACGGCTAGCCAAGTTTATGCTGTTTTGAATGATTTTTGTCAAACGACCAAAAGCGAAAGATGGTTTTCAAGGTGTTTTTGTTGGAGAACCGTTTAAACATGCCAAAGAGTAAAAACCAATCATAAAAAAGTTGAAAACCACTTGGTTGGTTTGGACGCAAAAAACCATAGCCGATAACCGAGAGCCGAACGCCGGTTTCTGAAACCCGAACGCCGGATGGCTTGGTTTTTGGTTTGGGCGAACACCAAGTGTTTTTAATGACTTAAACATGTTTGAAAAACATTTTTATGATTTAAGAAGTGCAATGAAGGTTTTTAGCCTAAAGAGCCAAGGTGTAAAGATTGGGTCGGTCTTGATCACAATGAAGACCGACTCAACGACACTAAGACTAAGGTCTTCGTTCTTGGTCTTCTTTTAGCTCTTGTTCTTGTCTTCCTTATTCGCCTTGTATATTCAAAGTTTGACTTGATCACAGCGGTTTGGCATTATCAAAACCTGTCATAAATAACAAACACGGCTTTAGTACGAAAACGTGACATGCCCGTGTTTCAACAATTTAATAGGAGAGTGCTATATGATGGTTTCAGTAACACCTGCTCATTCTTGGTGGGTAAAAAGAAAATCACCCTTATCTTTCAAATTCCATCAAACCCTCTTATCCATGTCCAAGCTCTTGCCATACTTTCCACATTTCTCTCACTTGAACCATCAATGCCCTAAAATGCCAAACAAATACTCCTCATTCGGCCCAAATACTCAAAACCACTCTTCCATCCCTTGGTTAAATCAAACTTAGCCATATGTCTTCTTGAGAACAGCCCAACCGAATCCTCACTTAAAAGGATCAACCATAGAACCTTGTTACTACTAACAGCCTTTAGAGCCAATCTTGTTGTGTTTACTTTGCAGGGATTTCAAGAAAGAGAACAAGGATGCAAGAATAATTTTTCCAAGTGTTCCATAGTGGTACCAAGGCTGCATTTTCAGCTCACCATACTCCAAGTACCAAGAGTATGCCATGTTCAAAACCAGCCCCTATTTTGATCTTGAAGAAATGCTGAGTTTGAGGACAAATTCTTTTGAACAAGGGGATGATGTTAGATATCCGCGAGCGTCAATGAAGACTTCCCTTAGTCCACAAAAGGAAAAACAAAATAGGAGAATGAAGCCAAAGTGTGGTGACTTTAATTGGGTTGAATTCATTCCTTTTTCCTATCTTGAAACCCAAATCAATACCATTGTTGTCCTACATCCAACCTATGCAGAACCATCTCAACCCCAAACCATCCCTAAATTTATTTCCTTTCAAATAAAGTCTTCCTCCACTTATTTTAAGTCACTTGACCAAAAATTAGAAGAAGACAATCCAAAACCTTTGTTTGTTGTTATTCCCTTTTTAAAGCCTTAAATAATCATAATAACACACTTCCCTTCCTCTTCCTACATAGGGACAAAATTTCAACCCCATTTTGTTCCTGAAATCCAACCAAAATCACCATTTACCACAATGAGACAAAATCAGCAAAAGAGTCTAAAGTTGAATAGTAAAAGTTTGTCTTTTTGTTGACTAATTTCACGACCAAACATGTAGTGTTCCTTCCTCACCTTTCCCCCCTACAAAAGGCCAAAAATAATCCACCAAATACAGCCAAGAATATCTTCATATTAGGTCTCAAATTATCTTTCTTGACTTTGTGTGCATAAGGCCGAATAACATGACTCACATCAAGCCAAAACATAGCCACACAATGTCTCTCTTGTCTTGTTCACTAATGGCCGAAGAACTCCCTCCAAAACCAGCCAAAGAACACCTCCCAAAGCCACCCAATATCTCATTTTGATTTGAAGCACTAAGGGCCGAATAAACCATCTCCAAACCAGGGCAAAGGATATCCCACTTTAGTCATGAAAAGGTGATAACATGAGGTCATTAATTCTTGATTTGTAATAAGGAAATAGGAAGCTGCCATTGTTATTTTTTCCTTTCCCTTATGTGTATATAATCTCGGCCATGAGACCATTGTAAAGTAGATTTGTTGCATGAAAACTTTGTTTACTCTTTTGAGTATTCTCTTAAAATAGTGTGATACTATTTTAGACCAAATTCCTAATTCTATATCTTAAGAGTAGTTTTCTTAAGTGTGAGTTTTAGGTTCTAGTTATTTAATTGAGTGTGTAATATCTTGATTAAATACTAGAGGTTAACCCCAAGTTAATCTAGAGGTGAGTTTATCCTTTAGTATTAATTTGGCTCCAAATTAAGATAAGAGTGTGTTTATCTCTTATAAGTTATCCCTGATTTGGAATTTATCACATTCTCCGTAAACCCATCCTTCTCTCTTGATATCCCACTCTTCTTCAAATTATCAAAAACACCAAAAAGAACTCCTCACCATCTCCATATTTTGTCCAGCCCATTCCCAACCTATACAACTCCATTTTCTTCACATTTCCAAGCCTAAAAACATCAACTTGATAAGACCCCCCGGTTCACCCCTAAGTTCGACTCTATGAATTAATTAAATATGTAGTAAATTTATATTTAAAAATTTAGGAAAATAATAAAAGGCTTAAAACAAATAGAGTAAATATAACTATGGATGACTCATGAAGAGGCAGTGTTTGCGAGAGGTTGGGTTAACCCAAAGACCCAATAAAAGGTTAGCTTTTTTCTAGTAAATCCTTTTTTTATGTAATGCTCTTGATTATGAAATTTTATAATTTAAGATTGTGACTTTTTTAATGTAGGGAATGTACAAATGAGTGACGATTTTTGTACTAATGTCACAGACTAATTTCAGGAGCTTCTCAATGCAACAACCGTGTGACAGACTCTTCTACTTCGTTAGTACCAAGTTTTGAGACATGAAAAAGAAATTAAAGTAGAGTGGTTTGGCCATTTCTACAAAAAGCCTTAGACCAACATTGTAGCATTATTAGTAACGAGGAGATTCGTTCTTTGGGTCACCCTCGAAAAATATCAAGCTGAGCATGGCGCGTTTCAACATTTTATTTGTTAACTTAGCATTATTCTAAATGAAAGTGTTTTAAAAGTAATACTCCGAAGTACATAAAAATAAAAATAGAAATTAATGTAGGATGTAAGAATGACATTATCACACCATATAGGCTAATACTCCATCCGTCCCAAGAAAATGTTATCATTGATTATTTGATAAAATAAAATATTATTGATTACTTGATAAAATAAAATAAGATATTATTGCACTCCACTCCCTCAGGGGAACTTTTATTTATTTGTAGTTATCATTGATTATTTGATAAAATAAAATATTATTGATATCTCTTATTCTAAAAAGATTTCATGTAACTTTTAATATGTAAATTTTATTTTTATTTTTACACAAATATTTAAATAAAATAAATTAAAAAAACTTGATATTTATCCTTGTTTTGTGAAATGTGACACGAGACTAGGCACTTGAATTCGCTATCTTAGCCCCTACAATAGGGGTGAGCAAGGACCGAACTGATTCCGATATTTCCCGAAAAAACCGAGAATACCGAACCGAAAAATACCGAACCGATAAAGTACCGAAAAGAAACCGAACCATACCGAACCAAACGGTCGGTCCGGTATTTGGGAACGGTACGGGGTTACTTCCCATACCGAAATTCCCGAACCGAACATATAAACTAATATATTATAAAATAATAATCTTTTTATATTTTTTCATTAAATAAAAATATTTAAATAGACAATTTAGTTTATTTTCATTATGTTTAAGTTGCACTTTAATAAGAGTTTTTTGTAGATAAGTATAAGAATATTAACAAATATTTGAAATAATACTTTCTTATCTCTCGTTCTCTTTAGTTTGTGAAATACTCCGTATAAACTAACTTTCATAAGCATTTCTTGCATTTTATTTTTTCATTTTTAAATTTTTTATCTTTCTTTGGTTAAATGTACATTCGATTTTTCAAAAATAAAAAATTTTGTTACATTTTATGTTGTAAACTAGTCACGTATATATTCATGCCGATTCGTACCGAAACCGATACCGAACCATCTCGAATCATACCAAACCGATGCTTTGGGATCGGGATCGGTACAACCTAACGTAAAATCCCACATGGAACCGAAATATTTGGTACGGTATCGGTACGAGCTAAATACGTTACCATAAAGTACCACGCTCACCCCTATACCAACTCAAGAGATGGTGACCCGAGGCTAGGCACTTGAATTCGCTATCTTAGCCCCACATAGTATCCACGAGTCCACGCAGGTCACGATTTTACCAGAAGAAAATTAAAGTTTAATGGATTATTTACCTGTAAAAGCATACAAACTAGACAGCAGTGCAACTTCAAAGAAGTCTTCTTGAAGGAAGGCAGTAGATTAGATTTATGATGGGATGATTTTGGAACTTCTTTCAATCATTAGGCAGTAGATTAAACTGTTTAAGTGGGCATAACATAACTAGCTGTTTCTGCATCTACTCCAGCGATAACTACTACTCCGTACTACACAACTACCGATTGATGCAGTTCCATTAAAAGGAAGAAAAGAAAAAAAGAGAAAAAGGGAAAAAGAACACTCTCCTCTCTGGCTCTTCTCTTCTCCCAACCTCTGCGGTTCGTTTTTTCATTTACGTGCTCTGTTTGAAGACTATTGGCTTTACAGAACGGTGACCGAGATTTATGCTCAAGAAAGAACGCCCATCATGTCCACCAAATCCAAGTGAGTGATATTCTTAGATCTGGGTTCTGTGATCTTCCTCCTATTTCTTGATTTCCCTTTCTCAAAAAGATGCATTTTTTCTCACACTTTTTTCTTATTATGGTTTATGTTTGGTTTTCTTGATTTGCTGAATGAATTAAACTTGGGCCATTTACCATTTTTGTTTTAAATTATAAATTTCCTCAAATTGTGTTTATACAACTGGTTGTTTCTTGATATGCTTGACTGAATTATATTCTGGGACTCTGGGTCGTTTGATTTTTCCTCCATTTGCCCAAATTGTGTTAGTGCAACTGGTTCTCTCTTGATTTGCTAGATTGGATTGCAGTCTGGGGTTTGGTTATGAAAGTTTCCACATTTGGCTGTATTCCATTCACTTTCTTTTCATATATAGAAGGAGCCTATCTGGTTTGATCTAGCTATTGATTAAAACCAGACTGTGACAATGCTTTTCTTTTCGGATCTAAGTATAAACATTTACTTGATCTTGAATCAGATCTGCTCAACCGGCAACTCCAAAGAGCAAGCCTTCACTTGTAACACCCCGGCTAAGTCAAGCGGGCAAAGCAGCAGGAGCTGCCAAATCTGATTCTGCTGATACACCAACTAAATTGCAAGCCCCTCGCTCTTCGCTTTCGTCTTCTTGTGATAAGTCTCCAAGATCTGTTACATCAAAGCCTTCTGTGGACCGGCGATCGCCCAAGTTCCCTCCCGATGTAAGTGCAGCAGATTCATTCCTTTTATCACTTTACATGTTTTGTTGTTTCCTTTAGACGGGTTGTGTTAAGGTATTCCACATTGGGGAAATTATTCATATTTCACCTATCATGTGGTAAATTGTGCTCTTGTTTGTTGTTGGTTTGCCCCAGAAAAAGCCAACTCGCATTTTGAAGCCATCATCAGAGTTACAGGCAGAGCTAAATGTGGCTCAGGAAGATTTAAAGAAGACCAAAGATAGGTTAGCTTCAGTCGAGAAGGAGAAGGCTCAGGCTCTTGATGGCTTGAAGGAAGCACAGAGGAAGGAAGAGGAAGCAAGTGAGAAGCTGAAAGAGGCTATGATGGCTCAAAAACGGGCCGAAGAGAGTTCTGAGATTGAAAAATTCCGTGCCGTTGAAATAGAACAGGCAGGCATTGAAGCAGCTCAGAGAAAGGAAGAGGAATGGAAAAAAGAGGTTGAAGCTTTGAGGAGCCAACATGATGTAGACCATGCTGCTCTTCTGTCTGCCACACAGGAACTTCAGCAGCTTAAGGAAGAGCTTTCCATGACTCGTGACGCCAAAAACCAGGCTCTCAACCATGCAGATGAGGCCACTAGGATTGCTGAGGCACATGTGGAAAAAGTGGAAACACTTTCGGCTGAGTTGGCCCGGCTGAAATCCACCCTTGAGTCAAGGTTAGAGACAGAGGAGGATGAGAAGAATGAGCTGGTTGCTGAGCTGGATCTTGAGATAGAGACACTGAAAAGGGAAGTTGAGAAAGCAAAAATTTACGAGGAGAAGTTGATGGAAAAAGAGGCCCTCCTTGATCAACTTAATGTTGAGCTGGAGTCTGCAAAAACTGCTGAATCTTATGCACAGACTCTAGCGAAGGAATGGAAGAAGAAGGTGGAGGACTTGGAGGTACTGGCTGCAGAAGCACATAGGCAAGAGACTTCTGCTTCAGAATCCTTGGCATCGATTATGAAACAGCTGGAAGACAGCAATGATTTGCTGCATGAGGCTGAATCTGAGATTGAATCCCTCAAAGAGAAGGTTGGCCTACTGGAGATCTCCATCGGCAGGCAGAGAGGAGACCTTGAGGAATCCAAGTGTCAACTTAAGATGGCCAAGGATAAGGCTTCCAATATGGGGAAAAAGGTTGAATCTCTTACCTCTGAGATCGAAACTGTAAAAGAGGAGAAGATTCAGGCTTTGAACAATGAAAAACTTGCAGCCAACAGCGTACAAAAGCTGTTGGAAGAGAAAAACAAGCTTTTGGATGAATTGGAACGCAACAGGGAAGAAGAAGAAGGGAGCAAGAAAGCAATGGAGAGTCTTGCATTGGCCTTGCATGAAATGTCATCAGAGGCAAGGGAAGCCAAAGAAAGGTTGTTGTCTATCCAAGTTGAGCATGAAAATTATGAATCTCAGATAGAGGACCTGAAGCTGGTTCTGAAAGCCACGAATGAGAAGTACGAGAACATGCTTGATGATGCAAAACAAGAAATCGATCTTCTAAGTGTGGCCGCTGAGAAATCCAAGCTTGATTACCAGAATTTGAAGACTGAGTGGGATGAGAAAGAGATCAATTTTATTAACAGTGTCCAAAGATCCGAGGAGAAGAAATCTTCAATGGAGAACGAAATAAGAAGACTGGAAACATTGCTAAAACAGATGCAAGAAGAAGCTTCCTTTGCCATTGAAGAAGAATATAAATTGAAGGAGTCCCTTAAGGAAACGGAGTCTGAAGTCAACTATTTGAAGGAAGTCATTGGTGAGGCAAAAGCTGAGAGCATGAAATTGAAGGAGTCTTTGACGGACCAAGAGAACGAAATGCAAAGCATTAAACAGGAGAATGAGGAACTTCGGAGTAGGGAAGCAGCATCTTTGAAGAGAGTTGAGGAGCTGTCCAAGTTGCTTGAGGAAGCTATGACTAAAAAGTCAGCTGCCGAAGAAAACGGAGAACTTACCGACAGCGAAAAAGATTATGATGTGCTTCCAAAGGTTGTTGAGTTTTCTGAACAAAATGGGGGAAGAGAAGAGTATCCCAGGATAGAGGAGATCTTACATCAACCTGAGCATTTTGCAATAAAAGAGTTTGAAAAAGTGATTGCCACACCTGATGATGCCGCCGGCAAAGAAACTGAAAACGGAGTGGGAGGCATGGAGGAAACAGCTAAAGAAAAGGTGAAAAAAGAGAAGGATGATGCCGGCTCCGTTGAAGCAGATTTTAAAATGTGGGAAAGCTGCAAGATTGAGGATAAAGACTTCTCCCCAGAGGAGCAGGAAGAGGAGGAGCTGGAGTCTAAGGAGGCAGAAGCAGGTGAGAACGATGATCACCAAAATGGGCTGTCTGCAGCAGAAAACCATGACAACACTTATCTTGTAAAGCAGCAGAGTCAGAAGAAGAAAAAAGCTTTGCTGGGTAAATTTGGTAGCCTGCTGAAGAAGAAAGGCACTAGCAACCAGAAGCAATAGGTACATTCGATCGTATGTTGAACTTTCAACATATTTGGCTTCTATGCAATTCTTTTTTTTTTTTTTTTTTGCTTCTTCCCATTCATTTTCGGATAGAGGTTGAATACACATGAAAGAAAACGGCTACCGTCTTATCTCCTGCCCTATTTGTTTCGCCTTATCTTTCTCTGTGTGATGTTATGTCAAGGTTGGGAGAATCCTCCCTTTGGTTTTTTTCCCAGACTTTCTTTGTATATTATATTTCCTTTTTGCTTGGTATCAAACACGGGTGTATTATATAGTGTGATTATATAGTAGCTAGTCTTTCCCGCCAGGCATGATTTGGCATATATTTTTTTCATTATGGCAACTCGTTGCTCATGTTTCCATTAGTATTCAGTTATTCATCTGCAGCCATTCCCACAAGGACTACTGAACTAGAAAAAGGCACTGACTTTCGATAGACATGATCTTTAGACCTTTTCTAAATTGCATAGCTTTTGCAATTCCAAATGCTTCATATTAGAGGAAGAGTTTAAGGCCATGTCCTCCCCAATTTATTTTTTTAGAAGAAAGTTATACTTCCTCCATCCCAACACTTTCTTCTCCTTTTCTTTTTTCTTGCCGCACAAAACTCTCCTCTTTTCTCTTAAAAATTTACTTTTACCCTTACTAAATTTTAACGTACCTATTACATCATATCTATTTACTAAATATCTATTCATCACATCTTACTTTACCTATCACATCAAGAGTATTTTTGAAAAGTCAGTGCTCCCTACATGCCTATTTTGATTACAAAATAGGAATTACAATGTAAAGTTTCACAATTTTTGAAATCATTTTATTTACAAATTGGTACATCAATAAGAAATAAAAATTACAAGTAAACATTAAAAGACTATGTCCAAAATTCTAAAAAATAAAAGGTAAAAAGAATATTTTATTTTATCAAATAGTCAATGAAAACATACAAATAAACAAAAGTTATCAAGAGAAGAGAGAACATAACATTGTAATCAAAATGGGGGACGGAGTACAAAAATATCCCTCTTAAATTTTTAATATTCAAAACGGGACATGTTTATGGGAGGGATCAAGTAATAAATTAAACAAGTCAAAGAAGACAATACATGCATGCAAGCGGAATTGCTTCCACACAATGTAAGTCCAAAGCATAAACATTGCTTGTTGTTTCAACCCTTAGCTTACTCCTATACATTTCCCTTTCAACCCTTAGATTACTCCTATCATTTGGTATCAAAGCTTAGCTTGTCGTTTCAACATCTCTTTCCCTACTACACTCAACACTTTTCACACTTTTCACCATGACAAACCAATCTCAAACCATGTCCAATGAAGAGCTCCAAGCCTCTAATGCAGCCCTCAAGGCTCAAGTTGAGTACCTAGCCAAGCAAGTGGCTCAACTTACGAGGAAGAAGAAGAAGATGCTTGAGACACCCGAAGAGAGTAATGAAGAACTAGATGTGGAAGCTCAAGATGTTGGAAACTCTAGCAACAACACTAGTGGTAGCTCTTGTGACAAGGGAGCTAGTGGCTTCAAGGTTGACATTCTGAACTTCGAAGGAAAGAAGGATCCCGATGAATTCCTAAAATGGCTAGAGACCGTAGAACGTGTCTTCGACTTCAAGGGTGTCCCCGAAGAAAAGAAGGTAAAATTGGTTGCTTTGAAGCTACGAAAGTATGCTTCGACTTGGTGGTTGAACTTGACCTCCAAAAGAAGACGCGAAGGAAAGGCACCCGTGAAGACTAGGCTAAGATGAGGAGCCTAATGAAGAAGAAGTTCCTCCCGGACCAGTATGTTCGAGAAAACTTTTCAACGCTTCAAAGCCTAAGGCAAGGGACCCGTTCAGTGGAAAATTACACCCGAGAGTTCGAAGAGCTTTTGATGAGATGCGACCTTCAAGAAGATGATTCTCAAACCCTAGTCCGATATCTTTTCGAGCTAAACACCAACATTGCCAACATTGTAGAGCTCCAACCATACTAAACCCTAGAAGAAATAACTAAACTTGTTGTTATACCTAAGCTCCGAAATTAGGCTTAAGCTTAAGAACAAAACTCCTTAAATTACAAGGATGATCGATTATTCGGGCATGATAATCGACAAACAAGTGGTTCAGTTTCTCGGGAGAAAATTTCGGAAGATTAAGGAAAGGTTGATAAGCGATTGTGGCTTGTTGTTGCATTTAAACAATTGCTTGTTTGTACCTGCCATTAGCAGGAATATCATTTCTGTGCCCTATCTTGACAAAGCAGGATTTTCTATTAACGTCAAACACAAGTGCCTTTCGGTTTTTAGAAATGATATTTACTATGCAACTGCTAAGATGACCAATGGTCTTTATATCTTAGACTTGGACGCCACTGTTTATAACGTAGATGTTAAGAGAAGCAAACCAAACAGTTTGAATCTCACATACCTCTAGCATTGTTGATTGGGCTACATTAATGAGAAACGCATATCTAAGTTACGTCACTCATGCGTACTTGATTCATTTGACCTCGAGTCTTATGATGTATTCCAATCTTGTTTACTTGGTAAAATGACAAAGGCTCCATTCACCGGTCACGGTGAAAGGGCGAGTGATGTATTTAGGCCTCATACACTCCGATGTGTGTGGCCCAATCAACACTGAAGCTAGAGGTGGTTTCTCATACTTCGTAACATTTACTGACGACCTCAGTCGTTATGGATATGTGTATCTCATGAAACACAAATTGGAATGCTTTGATAAATTCAAAGAATTCAGAAACGAAGTAGAGAAATAGTTAGGCAAAAGTATCAAGACCCTCCGCTCGGATCGAGGAGGTGAGTACTTAAGTCTAGAGTTCGACGACTATCTAAAAGAGCACGAAATCCTATCCCAGCTTACTCCTCCCGGTACACCCCAATTAAATGGAGTGTCTGAAAGGAGAAACTGAACGCTGGTCGATATGGTTCGGAGTATGATGAGTCTGACAACATTACCAGAGTCTTTTTGGGGAAAAGCACTATTAACAACAGCACACACACTCAATCGCATACCATCTAAAGCTGTTGAGAGCAAACCATACGAGCTATGCCGTGGGACGAAACCAAATTTGTCGTACTTGAGGATTTGGGGTTGTGATGTTTACGTTAGACGCCTCATGACGTCTGGTAAGCTGGATTCCAAATCTGACAGGTGTAAATTTGTGGGATACCCTAAGGAAACGAAAGGGTATGAGTTCTATCATCCGACCGATAACAAAACCTTTGTTGCTCAGAACGGAACCTTCCTTGAGAAAGAGTTTCTCTCTGCTATTTCTAGTGGGAGAAAGGTAGACCTCGAAGAAATTCGAGAACCACAAGAAGAGATCTCAATAGCAGTGGAACCCGAGCATCAAGATTTAGTATCTCGACCGGCTCAGGTTTTACCACGTTGGTCAAACCGGATGCGTAATCCTCCGGTTAGATACGGCTTCCTTGTATCTGATGAAGGTGACGTCTTTCTGGTAGACCAAGGCGAACCTGAGACCTACCTCGAGGCAATCACGTGCCCCGAATCCGAAGAATGGCTTAATGCCATGAAATCCAAAATGGAGTCTATGTACACAAACCAAGTCTGGACCTTGGTTGATGCGCCCGAAGGGATAAAACCCATATGGTGCAAGTGGATTTTCAAAAAGAAAACAGACGTAGACAGGAAGGTTCATACCTTCAAAGCTAGATTGGTAGCAAAAGGTTATTGACAAATCCGCGGAATTGACTATGACGAAACCTTTTCTCCAGTTGTGATGCTGAAGTCCATTCGGATAATGCTTGCGATTGCAGCGTTCTACGATTACGAGATTTGGCAGATGGACGTCAAGACGGCTTTCCTTAACGGGAACCTCAAAGAGGATGTCTATATGACACAACCTGACGGTTTTATAATTGCTGGTGAATTTGCCAAAGTCTGTAAGCTGCAACGGTCAATATACGGATTGAAACAAGCATCTCGAAGTTGGTATATACGCTTTGATGAAACCATCACTAGTTTTGGTTTCGAGAAGAATTCTGATGAGTCTTGTGTTTACAAGAAGGTGAGTGGGAGTGTGATAGTATTCCTAATCCTATATGTCGATGACATATTGTTAATGGGTAACGATGTTCCTGCTCTTACATCTGTAAAGACTTGGTTGAGCGAGAACTTCGCCATGAAGGACTTAGGGAATGCTACTTATGCCCTTGGCATAAGAATCTACCGTGATAGGTCAAGAAAGTTGATAGGTCTATGTAAAAGTACATATATAGATAAGGTCCTTGATCGATTTAGCATGACTAACTCGAAAAAGGGGTCCTTACCTGGCACGGCTCTTTCCAAGAGCCAGAGTCCTTCTACTCGCGAGCAAAAGGAACTCATGATGAAGGTCCCATATGCTTTTGCAATTGGTTCCATCATCTATGCCATGATATGTACTAAACCTGATGTCTGATTCGCTTTAAGCATGACCAGTAGATACCAGGGGAATCCAGGTGAAGCACACTCAACAGCGGTCAAGAACATCCTAAAGTATCTTCGGAATTCTAAGGATGCATTCCTGGTATATGGAGGTGAGGAAGAGCTGAAAGTGATCGGTTACACTGATGCGAGCTTCCAAACCGATCGAGACGATTAGAAGTCACAAGCAGGGTATGTGTTTTGCCTGAATGGCGGAGCTTTTAGCTGGAAGAGCTTTAAACAGGACACAACCGCCAATTCAACTACAGAGGCTAAGTACATGGCTGCTGCTGAAGCAGCAAAGGAAGGTGTTTGGATAAAGAAGTTCATTTCTGAACTTGGAGTGGTTCCTAGCATTAATGACCCAATCCCGTTGTTCTGCGACAACACTGGGGCCATTGCACAAGCAAAGTAACCACGATCTCACCAAAAGACCAAGCACATTGTACGATGTTATCACATCATACAAGAAATCATAGACAGAGGTGATGTAGAGATTTGCAAAGTAGGAACAGACGACAACATAGCTGACCCCCTTTGGGAAAGCTAAAGCATGAGGGTCACACTAGGTCAATGGGCATTCGACCGATGCCAGATTGGCCATAGTGCAAGTGGGAGATTGTTGGAGTTGGTGCCCCTATGGCCAACTGATGTTGTAATATCTTAGATATTTTCTATCGTGTAAAGGCAGATGCATTAAGTTTACATACATCTCATGCTAATGTAAACTCTTAATTGCATTCCTAGAATTATATTATAAGATGTTTATCAGAATGAGTCTTCTAATGTTGAGACTTACATCTTGTCACTTAGTATAATTCTAAATGGTCTATAGTCGAAGCATTAACGAGTGTGGGATATCGTTAGTGCGCGTAAGACTAGTGAGAGTTGGATGTTTGACCTAGTCTCTTGGTCAATGACGGAGTGTTCGCATCTACTCTCGGGCAGATATTATCGTTAATAATAGGATGCCAGACCTGACCCACCTTAAGGACATTGCCTAGACTTTTATTCTATGCTCTAAGTGTCCTTAATGCGACTATTGGTATAACGATCCTTAGACTTGAAGTATTACGTTCTTCGAATGCATGAACCCGCATGCTTTGATTCATTGTCCTAAGCCGTATGAAATAAGGATGATACACAGGCTTTGTATTGGGCATGCCGCTGCACGTATTCGAAGACGTATATTACGTACAAAGAAATTGTCACTGCTACTTAAGCAGAATAATGTTTTGTAGGGGCCCACTGATAAGTATGACTGAGGAAATGCATGGCTATCCTGAGATGAGTTTAGACATCTGTTCTCATCAGTCAGACTTGTTAATCAGTAAATAACTTAATGGCTACAAGTTGGATATTTTATATCCCTTGCACTAAGTTAAGACATTGGGACAAAAGGATCTACGTTATACAAAGTCTTATTCGTAGAAAGGTTTTGACGGAGCAAACGTCTGAACTTATAATCTGGGGGTAATAATGTGTTGATAGATACCGCTTATTACTTAGAGTATTGGTGTAGAGTCAATACTATGGCCAGTTTTATAAGTGTCTATATGGGTCACACACTTTGAACAATTTAAAGAGTAGGATTATAAGAAGGGATAATATTTAATTTGTATATTGTAAAATAGTAAAGTAAAATGTATAATATAATATATATGTATATATATACATTGTACACGCCACATATTTATATATATGTGATGGTGTAAATTATCGACCGGTATATCGTTTTTAACCGGTAAAAACGATAAACTAGTCTAAAAAACACACCAAAATATAAACACAGAGATTTATACGTGGAAACCCAAATCGGGAGAAAACCACGGGCCTTTTTTAGCGGTACCTTGCCAACGGGGGAGTTTTATTGATATATGGGGGTGTGTACATGGTACAAGAGTTGGGCTTGGAAGCCATTAATGGAGAAAATGTGGAGCTTCAAGCTCACTGAAAGAAAAAAGAATATATAATCTAGAGAGAGAAAGAAGAATTGGGCAGGGAGAAGGGATCAATTGGCCTCCCTAACCTAGAGGGGGAGCCCTCCTTTTATAGGGGAGGAGGGAAAGCATATTCGGGGAATATTCTCTTATTCCCTCATTTTATTAAACAGATCCGGTTTGACTGTTCTTCGTAAAATAATTGGGAAATGTGGGCCGGGCCACGTATTATTTCTCATCAATATGTACACTTTGCACATGACATACTTATATATATATTAAGTGCGTGTGTATATAATATATATATGTATTATTACTAAGGTGTACATATATGAATATATATATTACATTATATATTATATTGTGAACATTTTATTTTGGAGTGTCATTTTAATTATGTAAATAATTATTTTGACAAAAACTATTTTAAAATATATTTTATATACTTGTTTTAAAATGTTTTGGGTATTTTATTTTATATCATAAAAATTATTGATATCAAATAAAATACACTTTAAACATTTGAGAGGAGAAGAATTAAATTCTTCCCCCCTTCTAATTTCGTACCATGCTTGATGTCTTGGATGTGGGGACTTTGTCTCCCACTACCTTTCATAATATAGGTGTACTTTTGGCATTTTCCTTTTGAAAATGTTTTTACACCTTATTCTTTTATTAATTATAAAAGGTTTCTTCTTTCCCTTTTTTGAGTGAGCTGTTCTCGGCCAAGAGAAAGGAGGGGAGAGAGAGAATAACTTTTGGGTACCAAAATTATTTTGGTGTAGAAAATTGTTATAATATTTTCTTTAAAATATTATTGATATATTTTCTACTATTTAATATACAAGATTTATATTATCCCTAAAATAATCTTTATATTAAATATACTATTATAATCTTTACTAGCATAAAGATTATAGTAGACTTCGGAGATCGTTCGTGTGTCAAAGTTGGAGGCCGGACGCTTGAACGGCTACGTTTACTCCTTCAATACCTTTTGTTCGACTTCTCGTTTATACTGATTTACCGGAGAAGGTATAACTTTCTATCTCTAGCTATAGTTTTAGTACGTGTTCTTGGGCTAGTAATCACTATTGGGAGATTATTTTTTTGTATTTTTGCTGCCCTCCGGACCATGGTTACCTTTCAGGGAATAATGTAGTTTTTGGGCTGGTTATTATTGAATGGTCCTACCTTTGAAGGAAGAAATGATCCGGAGAAATTCCTAAGGTGGATCAATAAGGTTGAGCAGATCTTAACACTCAAAGATATGCCCAAAGACAAGGTGATAAAGCTAGTGGCATCTCGATTCCAAAGGAATGCTTTGACTTGGTGGACTAGTGTTACCACTAAAAGAAAGCTTGAATGAAAAGCCAAGGTGCAAACTTGGGAGAAGATGAGAAAGCTCTTGATCAAGAGGTTCTTGCCTAGAGATTACCAATACATGGTACCCAAAAACAACTTCAAAAGTCTCTCTCTAGCCATGCCATTTTCTCCACAAACACCACCCAAAGTAAGCCTCCAAAAAACTTCAACAACAAGCCTATTACAAGCTGCCACAACCACTCCCATTCACCTATACCTACATTTCAAACACTATCTAAACCCATCCCTTTTTCTTCCTTAACTAATGTCCTAAATACTCCAAAAAACACTCCCACTCCCATGACTCAAACACGACTTGAAACCCTCGCTTTACCTTCCTTAACTTCTGCCTAATATATTCCCCAAACCACTCCCACGACTCAAAAACCACTTAACACCATACCTTTTCCCTCCTTAACCATTACCCAAAGCACTCCCACACCCACGACTCAAAAACAACTTAAAGCCATGCTTTTACCTTCCCTAACCACTACCCAAATTGTCCCCAATATCACCTCAACACCCATGCCCCAAAACTCCTCAATCACCACCTCCTTTTTGTCCCTAGCTACTGCCCAAAATAACCCCAAAATGCTTTCAATACCCCTTTTTCAAAGCTTTCCTAAAACCATGTGTTTAACCCCTCCACAAATTGACCAAAACACCCATGGAGCCATATTCACCTCCACAGCTCAAAGTCCCCTCAAGTTTGTTGAGTTTTTGCAGGTTTCATTTGATAAGAATATTGAAAAGAATCATGAGCCAAAAGGATCCATCCATTCTCAGCTTAGTGACTTAGTATGGGTCCATGTTAAGTGATATATCCCCGGAATACTACAAGTGATCCTCAAATCCTTAAACAAATCAGTGGAATCATGTCTATGTGTTATGATCCTTTCTAGAATGAATTCACCATCACTAGGCCATATTACTCAACTATGATAACCTTGAACCTATCCCCACCCTAAAAGGGTTGTATGTCCTTCACCAAAACCAAACCCAAAACCCAAAAACAAACCCCTAAACCTTAGTCTCATTTTCCTTCCCTTTGGCCAAAACTACCCTACCTCATGGCCCTACTTGATTCACTTCATGAACATAACACATTATGTGCCAAAAACCATATCAAACCATAACCCATTTCCCCCCTTTCATTTCCCTAAGCTAGGGCCGAAACACACCAAGCCAAACATTCACATTCATTCACCCAACATCCAACCATCATTGTCCCCCTCATGTCCCCTAATACAGTCGAACAAACAAACACAATAAGCCAAGGAACATTTGTGATTGCTTTGACCCTTAAACCACCATATGAATCACCATATAAAATCCATCTTTCACACACCCCATTGTCCGCCATTAGGGCCGAATGACTCACCACCCCAACCACCAAATATTCACCACAATAACAAGACAAAATACCCACACATCACCCATTTCTTTTGCCCCTACAATATGGCAGAAAATCCCCTTCATTCAAGGATATTCATTCAATGGTATTCATTCATGATCCTTGGCCCCATTTATTGACAACCCTTACCCAAAACATCACACCCAAAATCCCTGATTTTATTGCAATGAAAGGACTCAAAACATGGCTGTATTTTCAATGATTTGTGGAAGAAGTAGCTTGGTAGTTTCCTATGTATGTGTCTGCGTCTTTAAATTTCGTCCATAGGCCTTTTGTAATGCATATCATACTTTCTCATCTTGTAGTAGTAATACACTTGTTGTATTCTATTTTAAAATTTCTATATCTTTAGGTTGGTTCCCTTAAGTGTGAGTATTAGGCTCTAGATATTTAGTTGAGTGTGTAATATCTTAATTGAATTCTAGACTCAAACCCCAAGTGATGATAAGAGTGTGTTATATCTATTATATCCGAACCGGGGGTCTTATCATTTAAGTAATTTGATGTTATACTCGAGGCTCGGGGGTGTGGATATTATGTTCGAAAGCAAGGAGCAAAGCTCTTCAATTTGCAGAAAGGGTGGATAATCGATTGTCTATCTTAGATAATCGATATCTTAGATAATCGATTGTCAGATGGTGCAGTTTCTTGGATTTTTAGGACGAATGGATAGTCGATTATCAGTATGGTGATAATCGATTAAATAGGGCTGCAGGTGTTTTAACAGAGGAATGATAATCGATTGTCAAGGATGATAATCGATTGTTATGGTCTGCACGTGTTCCAATGGAGGTGTGATAATCGATTGCCTCAAAGGATAATCGATTATTTGACAGAATTCTAAGCATGAAGAAGGGTGTTTTGTGGGGGAATGGCTTGAAAATATATGGAGATGATGAAGGAGTTCTTTTGGGTATTTTAATGGAAGAAAAGTGTAAGGTTAAGAGGAGAAATGTGGAGGTATGAAAAGGAAGAAAATCAGGGATGGATAAACCAAGTTGGTGTTTAAGAGATATTACACACTCTTATCCTAACTTGGGGTTTGAATCTAGAATTTAATTAAGATATGACACACTTAATCAAATATCTAGAACCTAAAACTCACACTTAAGATAATCACTCTTAAGATATAGAATTAGGAATTTGGCTAAAATAGCATCACACTATTTTATGAATACTCAAAGAGTAAAAGATTTTCAATATTCAAAAGATGTGTTACAATGGCCATATGGCCTGAGTTTTATAGGGAGAGGGGAAGGAGAAAATACGTAATACATTGAATGTGAACATGAGGAAGCTTCCTAGCAACATCCACTTCCAAAACATGGGGTAACCTTCATTGAATCGTGTCTCCAAAGTGGAGTGAAATCAGGAATGGGGTTGGGGTTGTGGGGTTTTAGGTTTTAGGTTTGTAGTGGTTGTTTCCTGGGTTTTTGGCTATTATTTGGGAAAAAATGAGGGGTTGTTTTTGGCCAATAAAAGGGGACAGGACTGGGTAATATTAGAGGTGGTTTTGGACATATGGGTTTGGCAGTAATGTTTGCTTAATTTATCACATCGATAGTAATGTTTGCTTTGTATACTATATTGGCAGTAATGTTTGTTAATTATCACATCGACAGTCATCGTGAATGAAAAGCTCGATGGAAGCCGCATCTTATGCTCGTGGCATAGCAACGTATGATTGGCCGTGGCAGAAGATAGGTTGTTTCAAATAGATTCCAGCACAGTCCAGCATTTGTCTTTGTGATTTGTTAATTGTCATTGCCAAGCAAAGTTTGATAAGAAATTGAGTTCTTTTAAAAGGAATTGTGCAATGATTGTGTTTTGATATCTCGAGTGGTATTCTTAATATGAAGACATGTTTTTTGTGTTCACCTACTACCAGGGGCGGATCTACCCTTTGGAATATGGGGGCAGCTGCCCCCAATCAATTTTTTTTAATATATGTATATTTTTAAATATTATATATAATTGCCCCCAATAAAAAATTAAATCTGCCCCCAGTCCATTATTTAGCCCAAACAAATTAATTACCTAAAGTCTAAAATCCAATTTGAAAAGTGGCCCAATTGTCCAAATTCCAAAAAATTTACCTAAAGTCTAAAACCCAATTATTTCCAAATTTACTGATTTCCCTTGGCGTTTGCGGAAACCGAGAAGATGAGCAATTGAACCGCCGAAATGCCGAACACTGGAAGTGGAATCCGAACAGGAGCACCCGCTATACCGCCGCCGCGCGTCCGCTGCGTCGCCGCCAGTCCGCCACAGCTTCGAATCCTTCAATCGAGTATCGGGCAATCGTAGAATCGGACAAGCATCCATGTATTTCCAAATAATTTTTTTACTTTTTAAATTATGATCTAAATAATGTGTGATGTGCGAAACTTTTTTCCTTTTTATATGTAATGTGTGAAACTTTTTATGATCTAAAATATTTTTTTTCCTTTTTATGTGTAATGTGTGAAACTTTTTGGATAATTTGTTTTTATTTTTCAATTTCCTATAAAATGAAATTGTTTATTATGTTGATTATTATTGATTAAAATTTAAAATTATCCCAAAATATATGAATTGATGACTCTAGTCTCTAAAAAGATATTAATTTTCCATTGATATACTTGAACAATTTGTTCTAATTTTTGTACATGGATTTAGTAAAAAAATTTATTTCATTTTATATTTTTAGATAATGGAGAAGTTTTTTAAACGGAAGTTCCCCTCAACGCGTGATGACCATCTGTACCTTTACTAGCTAAAGAAATAGATTTAAGTGAGGTATGTTCTATCTATTTAATTGTACCTTGTCTTTAATTTAATTTTAATGGTAGAAGTATGTTCTATCTATTGAATTGTCTCTTGTTTAAAAAAATTCACTTTAATTTATTTAATGCCCCCATTGAAAAAATTTTCTCGATCCGCCACTGCCTACTACTATATAGTAGCTGACCAGATGATCACTGAACGAATCTCATATTAAACATGTTTCGTTTCATAGACCTTCACTGGTATTCAAATTTCTCGCGATCGAGAGGATGACTAGACAGTTTTCTTAGAACAAATGTGTGAGGAGGTAGGCATGGAAATGATAATGTACGTAAAAGATCTTGGCAACTATGTATCTGTAAATTTTTAGTTCACCAGAAAATTTATTAATGAAGATTAAAGTTATTTCATCTACGTGATCATTTGTGGGAGTTAAAACTATTCTATCCATCAAGGAAAATGGATCTTGGTGGAAAAGATTAGAGTTTGGATAAACGCTAGTTGTCAATGCGCTTAGGTAGCTTGTATCGCAAATAAGGAAGTTGGAATGAATTTGAATTTTCTAGCCACAAGTAGTTGGTTTTGTTCAGTTCCCAATGTTCATTAAATATTCACAAAGCCAGGGTCACTTCGTGCTTGGATGCTTTCAACCAATGTTAGCACATTTTATGTTTGGTTAAATTTGTGATGACTTTTCAATACAAGCATTGATGGAGTCTTACTTGTTTACATGTTTGATTAATGATCGGTCCAAAAGGTGGAATCGCCCACCCCAGGCGCCCCCACCCCCTTGCCCGACAGGAATGGTGGAGGAAGTAAATCATGGTGACTCAATCGGCCAAGAATGTTAGACCCGTGCCCACCGCGCACAAGGAGCCTCCTCACCCTTTATGGGATTTTTGGATAGCTCCCACACTGCCGCTTGCGGGACTCGATCCCTGGTCATCGGTCCAAGATTTCACGCTCTTGACCAACTAAGCTGCCCATGCGGGCACATGTTTGATTAATGATAATTCTTGTGTAGGTCGCCTCCGAAGACTACTACTTTCCCTCCAAATAGGTCATCACAAGGCTTAAGATCTCTAAGCATTATGTCCACCGCTTTGATTATTGCTCAATTACCCATCATGATTTTATCCCAAATGATCAATTTTGCTTCTTTAAGTAATGCAGCTTCTGCACTTTGTTTTCCAAGTTACACGTGTAGTTATCTGTTGAAATTCGTAATTGAATATGGAATGTGTTGTTCGACCACCTGGAACAATAGATGCAATGATGCCTGATGTTAGAAGTTGCCAAAGCTATACTCCCTCCGTTCTCAAAAACACTTTTTCTTTCATTTTTTCCACTTCCAACAAAACACTTCCACTTTCTATTAAAAAACCACTTTTACCCTTACTTTTCCATACCCTACTTATCACATCATACTTTTTCTCTAATAATCTATCCATCACATCTTACTTTTACACATCACATCAGGGGCAAAATTGAAAATCAACTATAATTTAACATCTACTTATTTTTGCTCAAATCAAAATAGGAAGTCTTTTTGCAAATGGAGGGAGTATATTTCTTGCTCTTAAAAGTAGCCAATAGTTCTTTATATAAGAAGGTTTTTCGAGTTCCACCACGGTTATTAACGGAAAAAAAACTTCAACCATCATTGATGTGATACTTTGCATGATGCAATCAAATGCTGACTTTTGTTCAACGCTAAGGTTGGGTATGGACAGAAGATATTCATCACTTACATTTAAGTTGTCCTCTGATCTGATTTCTCGTGCGCGCAAATCATTTGTTGGAAGTAAGTTATGGTTGTCAACCATGTCAAAGCTTGTAATGCTCTTACAAAATTTGTCGGTAATATCTCTAAGCAGTTGTAGCACGATTATTTTCATTTCAGCCTCACTGTACAATCATGTATGAGAAAAGTCGTCGCATAGATAATATTTGTATTTTTACCACAAGACTTTTAAATTTAGAATATCATAGATGATAAGGAGCGTAGCGAATACTTTTCTTAGGCTCTGAGGCATTTGATATATGATTGTTTCTTCTATGCAAGCATCGACTGAGTAATTTACCCATATTATCGATAGTAATTGCTCTGAGGTTCTGATTTTTGAAAAAAGAGATGTAATTGAGTTACATTTTTTGCAACTCTTATTCAATCATTCCTCTAAGAGACTTAATAACAAAAGACTCGTATTTAATCTCATGATTTCATGCTTGGATCATTGTGGAACAAATAACAAAGGACTCAAACTTCGGAAAGGTAAAACATTACTGTAATATCTTTTAAGAAATTATTTTTTAATGAAATAGTCTAGATATTAGAAACAATTACAATTGAAAATCCAAGATTTATGGTCAACTTTTTAGATATCACAGTAAGAATTTAAATAAAAGTCGGAACAAAAGAACGTTGTAAAGAAAACATAATTGCTTCTTTTAAGAAATTATTTTTTTAACGAAATAATTCAGAGATTAAAAATAATTACAGCTGAAATTTCAAAATTTGCGGTCAAAGTTTTAGATATTAGAATAAAAAATTAAATCAAAATCAGAACAAAATAACCCTGTAAAGAAAATATAATTGCTTTCTTGTAAAACCTGAGAATCAACATGAAAGCCACAGGGGTACGGTACAAGAAAGATAATAAAGTTCTCTGAAGAATAGACAACTAATTAATCGATTGAACGTATGAACGTAAACCCTTAACAAAATCAAAGTTCTCTGAATTGACCTAGTCAATGATGACAATCGGATAATGCAGCGTTAAAGGACAAGTGCTCTAGGTTGTAATTACAAATAGGGGATGGTAAGTATAGAGAAATTTAGAGGGCGGGAACGTAGTGGGAAGCACAGTAAAGAAGCGGTAGTGTGAAACATAGTAAAGAAGCGGTAGTGGGAAGCACAGTAAAGAAGCGGTAGTGTGAAACACAGTAAAGAAGCGGTATTGGGAAGCACAGTAAAGAAGCGGTGGGTACCACTTAGAGCACAGGCAATGGCAAGTAAAGAAATGGAATGCCACACGTTGACGTGGCATATTTCAACCAATAAAAGCATATCCAGTCAGCGTGTGGCAAGTGAGTGCAGTGACATTTCATACAATGGCAAGTCATTATTTTTATCAATTTTTATGATTTTTTAATGCATTTTAATTATTAAAAATAATTTCATTTATCTTTTTTAAATAGATTTCCTTTTTGAAAAAAACTTATTTCTTCTACAAAAAAACAAAAAAAACTGAAAGCATGTGATTTTAGACTGATTTGTGTTGATTAATTAATTTTAGAGTCTACACACTTGTAGAAGGGCCGAATTGGAAGTATGATTGAAGATTTGGGGTCAAGCGACGGCGGCAAGCATGAAGCACTCCAGAGACGGCGGCAAGCATGAAGCACTCCAGCGACGAGCAGCCCGAACTCCATCAGCAAGAACTCCAGCGACCCAAATTTTTTTCTTCTAATTAAAAAATAAAAAAATAAAAAAAATACGTGAAAGTGCCTCGCGTCTCACACGTTTGGCGTGGAGGAATGCTAAAGCCTCGCGAGGCAAGGTAGGGAAAAAGGTGACATGGCGCAGCGAGGTGAGGATTTGCCTCGCCGCTGCGCATGCTCTTAGAGCAACTCCCGTAGATCGAGTAATAGGCTAGGTATAGGTAATGCTAGGAAATGCTAGTAAAAAATACCATTTCAAAATATTTGTTCAGCTTTAACTTTTTGCCGTCAAATTTTATTAGCTTAATCATTATTCAAATAAAAATTATAATAGATATTGACACAATAATAATTTTCTTAGATTTATTTTGTTAAATATATTCCAAATATTTTGTCTAATTATTATACCATGTAATTATTATTTTATTATAAATCAAATGTCGGTTTTAATTAATTACAAAAAACAAAAAAAAAACAAATACTCTAGGACGGAGGAAGTATAAATTAATTTGTGTCTACGAGAAGTTGCTTTTCCTAGTATCCTTTAATATAAAATTTGAGAGTTTGATGTGTAGAATGACATGTGGCACTTTGGGTTTTATTTTAATGACACGTCATTAAAATACACGTATTTTTCGCTTGATTTCACCGCCGAAGGAAAGGAATTCATCATAGACTCCATCGTCCAAGGACGTTCTCCTTGATTTCAGACTAGGTAAGTTTCCAAAATTCACATGCCAATCTTATTCGATTAAAAATGATACAGTCCTTTGCTATATTGACCACGTGGGTAATTGCCTTAGCTGGGAAAGGAGGTTATGTTAGTTACAATCTGTTAGTTGGTTGTTAGTTTGTTGAGAAGTTGTTGTGATACATTGTTAGGGCTATATAAACCGATGTATGTTGTATGCTAAGGCATGAATAATAATCTGAATTCATCTTCTTCCCCATCTTCTCCTTCTCTCTCTAAAATCTCTGTTCTTAATCNATTGACCACGTGGGTAATTGCCTTAGCTGGGAAAGGAGGTTATGTTAGTTACAATCTGTTAGTTGGTTGTTAGTTTGTTGAGAAGTTGTTGTGATACATTGTTAGGGCTATATAAACCGATGTATGTTGTATGCTAAGGCATGAATAATAATCTGAATTCATCTTCTTCCCCATCTTCTCCTTCTCTCTCTAAAATCTCTGTTCTTAATCACCATTGCCGTTACAGAGCAGCGAAGCTTGATCCTGCAGCTTCCTTCCTCTGTATCATTGGTATCAGAGCCATTTCGTTCCAGGATTATCAATCAGATCCAATAGTTTGCTGATTCAGAGCTGGCAAACACGCGTGCGCGGTCCAAAATGGAGGAATCAATTAAGAAAATGATGGAGCAACAACAAACATGGATGTCGACTCAAATTCTGGAACAGAGACGATTGATGGAGGAACAAATTCACCTATTGACGGCTCAATTACATGAATTGCGGACCAGTTCATCCAGCAATCAATCGGGAGGCGGAAGTCCATTTACAAACTCAGAAGGTAGGAATCCATTCCGGTTTAACCCTAAAATCGAGTTTCCTATATTTGAAGGAGCAAATCCGATAGAGTGGATTAAGAAATGTAGGAAGTATTTCACTCTATGTAATGTTCCTGAGCACCAGAAAGTCGATCTGGCGACTATACATCTGAAAGGAAAGGCTGAGACTTGGTATAGTAACTATAGCCAGTCGAAAATCAATGTGGTGTGGGAGGAGTTCATTGTGGATTTGTGTGCAAGGTTTAAGGGTGACATATATGATAATGTGGTTGAGGAGTTTAACAAATTGAGCCAGACAGGTAGTTTGGAAGAATACATTGATAAGTTTGAAGGCATCCCTGTTGCAAAAAAGGCCTAATATGCCACCAGAACGTTTTTTGGACAGCTTTATAGCCGGGCTTAGGCCTCAGGTTAAACCGTTTGTGAAAGCTTTTGCTCCATCTTCTTTGGCTAAGGCCATTAGCTTTGCAAGGTTGCAGGAAGATACTCTAGAAGCATGCAAAACGCATGAGAAGGGCAGTAAGACTGGGCATTACACCGCTGTATCAACAAGGAGTAACATTCCCCTACTGGCTAGGCCTGATTTTGTGCCCAAAACTGGCATTAGCATGACTGATTCTGCTAAAACTCCCAACAGCAACCCGGTGGCCAACTCTTATGGAAAGTCACACAACCATGCTCAGAAGAATCCAAGGTTCATACCTGCCACTGTGAGGGCTGAGAAGATTGCACAAGGGCTGTGTTATTATTGTGACAAGCCCTATGGGAGGGGGCACAAGTGTGAAAGCAAAGAAACACAGTTATTCTTAGTGGAAGTATTGGGCAAGGAAGATCAAGAGTTGTTTGAATTGTCCACTTATGAATCTACTGAGACCAATGCTCCTTCTATATCATTACATGCAATAACAGGGGGAAATGGTTTTCAAACCATGAGAATAACTGGCTTTGTGGGCAGAAAGGCACTCCAACTATTAATAGATTCAGGAAGTACTCACAACTTCCTGGACAGTAAAATGGCGCAGAAATTGGGATGTCCACTTGAGCCTATCAACTCACTGAATATAGTGGTGGCTGGATACAGTCTACCCTGCACTCAAATCTGTAAAAACTTTAAATGGAGGTTGCTAAACACAGAATTCTCCTCTGATGTCTACATCATGCCTATTGGGGGGTGTGATATGGTGCTAGGCATCCAATGGTTGAGTACACTGGGCACAATTAGATGGAACTTTAAGCAACTATCTATGGAGTTTGAATATTTGGGAAAACACCACACTTTTCTTGGAACCAAACACAGGATGATGATAGCAAAAAGTGATCAATGGGCTAAAGACATGGGCAAGGTGACACAAATCTGTATGGTTCAGTTGAAGGAGAAATTGGATAATCAAACGCTGGACAAGCAAATACTAAAAGCACATGGAGAGGGAGAAGAGAAAGCGATACCTGCAATTGTCCAGCTATTGGAAAAATATGCCAAGGTGTTTAGCACACCAGTTGGCCTCCCACCTAAAAGAGGCCCTTTTGATCATAGTATACCACTTAATAGTGGTAGCCAACCCGTGAGTATAAGGCCCTATAGATATCCACAGAAACAAAAAGATGTTATTGAAAAGCTGATAGAAGAAATGCTGGACAGTGGAGTCATTCAGTTCAGCAATAGTCCATTTGCATCCCCAGTGGTGTTAGTGGGGAGAAAAGATGGATCATGGCGGCTATGTGTTGATTATAGGGAGTTAAACAGGGCAACCATCAAGGATAAGTTTCCCATTCCAATAGTAGAAGAATTGATCGATGAACTAGCTGGTGCAATGGTCTTCAGTAAGCTGGATTTACGGGCTGGATATCATCAAATTCGGGTTGAGGAGAATGATGTGCACAAAACAGCTTTTAAAACACATTTGGGACATTACGAATTTCTAGTGATGCCTTTTGGGCTAACGAATGCCCCAGCTACCTTCCAAGGCCTGATGAATCATATTTTTCAGCCTTTCCTGAGGAAGTTTGTCCTCATCTTCTTTGATGACATTCTCATATATAGCAGTAATTTACAAGATCACTTGGTCCATTTGGAGGAGGTGTTTGAGGTATTGCTGCAGCATTCCTTATTTGCCAAACGGAGTAAGTGCACCTTTGCTGCAACCAAGGTAGAATACTTGGGACATTTCATCTCTGGCAGAGGGGTGGAAACTGATCCTAAAAAGATCCAAGTGGTCTCAGAATGGCCAGTCCCTAAAACATTGAAGGAGCTGAAAAGTTTCTTGGGCTTAGCCGGGTACTACAGAAGATTTATAAGGGGCTATGCTGCCATGAGTAGACCCTTGACTATTCTCTTAAAAAAGGGGGCATTCCACTGGACCCCTGAGGCTACTATTGCTTTTAACCAGCTTAAACAAGCATTGGTGACAGCCCCAGTGTTGGCCATTCCAGACTTTAACCAAACATTTATAGTGGAAACTGATGCTTCTCAATATGGAATTGGGGCAGTACTCATGCAAAACAACCATCCTATAGCTTTTATAAGCAGATCGCTGGGAACCAAGTGGCAACATTTATCGGTATATGAAAAGGAGTTACTGGCTGTGGTGCATTCAGTACAGAAATGGGAGCAATACCTTGTTGCTAAACCATTCATCATACAGACTGATCAAAAAAGCCTTAAGTGGTTACTAGAGCAGAAGATATCCACTCCCTTCCAACAATTCTGGCTCTCCAAACTTATTGGTTTTTCCTATGAAATCCATTATAAGAAGGGGCAGGAGAATAAGGCAGCAGATGCCCTCTCTAGGGTCACGGGGGCACAGCTCATGCAGGTGGTATTTTCCAATATCCAATCAGATCTGGCTGATCGAGTAGCAGCCTCCTGGCACTTGGATGCAAACTTAGAAGCTATACTCCAACAGTTACAGCAAGGAGCATCCATGCCACATTACTCTTGGACACACCAGCAGTTGAGAAGGAAGGGCAAATTAGTAGTTGGGCCAGACTCTACACTAAGACATACTATCCTGGTCGGGGCACATGCTTCCCCTGTGGGAGGTCATTCAGGGAGAGAGGACACTTTAAAAAGGATCAAAAGTATGTTCTATTGGAAGGGGCTAAACAAAGATGTTAATCACTTCATTAGAATCTGCAGAATCTGTCAAGCTTGCAAATATGAGACTATAGCACCATCAGGCCCTTTACAGCCTCTGCCCATCCCTCAAGAAGTTTGGTCTGACATCTCAATGGATTTCATTGAAGGGTTACCTACTTCTCAGGGAAAGCAAGTGATCTTTTTGGTGGTTGACAGGCTAAGCAAATATGCTCATTTTATGAGTTTATCACACCCTTATACTGGTTTAGAAGTGGCCCAATCCTATCTAGATCATGTTTTTGAACTTCATGGCATGCCTAAGTCCATTGTGAGTGACAGGGATCCTGTGTTCTTGAGCAATTTTTGGCAAGGCCTATTTGCAGTTCATGGAGTGGATTTACGGCTCTCTACTGCCTACCACCCTCAAACTGATGGACAAACAGAGGTGGTCAATAGGTGCCTTGAAAGCTATCTAAGGTGCATGGTTTGTGAAACCCCAAAGGAATGGTCAAAATGGCTGCCCCTAGCTGAATGGTGGTATAATACAACTTATCATTCAGCCATTCAACTTACTCCTTATGAAGTGGTGTATAACCAACCCCCTCCAGTCCATTTGCCCTATCTTCCTGGTGAATCCAATGTAGAAGAGGTAGACAGGTCTCAACAGAAGAGGGAGGAAATGATCAGACTCCTAAAGTTTAATTTGGAGAAGGCTCAAAATCGAATGAAGCAATTGGCGGATTTACACAGAACTGATCGAACTTATCAGATTGGAGATTGGGTTTGGCTGAAATTTCAGCCCTATAGGCAGGCTACCATCATGACTCGGGGTAATGAGAAGCTTAGCGCCAAGTACTCCGGCCCATTCCAAGTGCAAGATGTCATTGGGAAGGTGGCCTATAAGTTGCAACTACCGGCGACAGCTAAAATACATAATGTATTTCATGTTTCCCTCTTAAAGCCTTTCAGGGGAACTCTGCCAGCCACACCACATATTCCCCCTTGGCTGCAAGGTGTTAACGCTGATGTTTGTCCTCAACCAGCAGCAGTCCTGGCCAGAAGGATAGCCAAGCGCAATCAAGCAGCACACACTCAATTCTTGGTTCAGTGGACTGGACAGGCAGCAGAAGATGCAACTTGGGAATGGGCAGCAGACTTGAAGCTCAAATTCCCAACATTTCAACCTTGAGGGCAAGGTTGCTTTCCAACGGGGATAGTATGATACAGTCCTTAGCTATATTGACCACGTGGGTAATTGCCTTAGCTGGGAAAGGAGGTTATGTTAGTTACAATCTGTTAGTTGGTTGTTAGTTTGTTGAGAAGTTGTTGTGATACATTGTTAGGGCTATATAAACTGATGTATGTTGTATGCTAAGGCATGAATAATAATCTGAATTCATCTTCTTCCCCATCTTCTCCTTCTCTCTCTAAAATCTCTGTTCTTAATCACCATTGCCGTTACAGAGCAGCGAAGCTTGATCCTGCAGCTTCCTTCCTCTGTATCAAAAAAGTTTGTTTATACATGTTATTCTATCGTATTCCTGTTGTTTAATCTCGGTTGTAGAAGCTAATTCATTGTCGATTAAAAGAATATGGAAGATCTTGCTCATTAATTATTCAAGATAGGTAAGTTTTCGGTGAACGCATCGCTTTAGCCTTTGATTTCAATTCGATTATTCAAAGCTGATAGATTCTTTGACTTTGGTTCTAATTTAATTTTTCGAAGCATGCCAATTAAGTTTCACCTTACATGGAAGAATTTTGATGCTTGGTCGATCCTAGAGCATAATTTAGCATGTTTTTTAAGATCCTGGAGTATAATCTACCCCTGACAATCAATTGTATGTTCTAATAATTAAGTAGAATTCAATGAATGAATTTCTTCACAACTAATTTTCTGTGTTGCTATATCCCTCTCTTGGTATAGTTTAATTCTTCCACTCTTTCTTACAGAGTACTTTCATTTTCAAAATCTTGGTGAAAGAGCCATGACATTGAAATCTGTTACTAGCCCTTACCATTGGGACAAGTCTAAAAACCACATCCTTAAATCTTGGTGAACTTAATCAGTAATAGAAGCAGTTTAGAGTGTATTAAGACTCTTGATGCTATAAGTACTTCTGTAAGAACTGTGTTCTCATTTCACCCTCATGGCAAATCATGAGGGTGAAGGCTCATGACGGAATGAATTGTGCAATTGATTATGGAATTGGATGTTGAATGTGTTTGGGTTGAATTTCTAAAGGAATTTCCAATGGGTCGCCAACGTAACGCCGACAGTGGGGTAGGTCAAATTTGGCAGACCACTGGGCAATCTCAATTGAGTCTGAATTGGTCCAATTGGACCTGTTTGGGTAAGGATTGATCAAATTGGGTTAGGTTATTATATATGTAGAGGTAAGGTATGATATCCACAGCTTTAAGGACCCTTCTCGTGAACTCTATTTTAAAAGATTTGATACAATGCATATATTGTATCCCCTGTATAGTCATTTTTCATATGTTGGTTTTGCTTTTTACTGTACTGCAGCTGCTGATATATTCCTTTGGAGGGACAAGAAAGTCACTGCTGGCGTGTTTGGTTTTGCACCTGCAATTTGGCTGTTTTTTGAATTGCTGGAGTAACCCATTACCCATTACCTTCTAGATGGAATTGCCACAACATGAGCATCTATTATATATATAAAAACAGAATCAAAATTGAACAAACTTCTACCCAATTTTCACTCCAATCCGATGGTCCAATTTTATTAAAAATTGGCAAAATCTAAACGTCAATTACAAATGCCAAATGCGGTCAGAATTCGATGGAGATTCTTTTCAAAAGAAATTTACGGTTTCAGTATCTTGATTCTCAGTGTTTGATCTTCTTACGGCGGAGCATTTAGATCTACACAAACCCTAGAATCTGTCTCCAGCTCTCTTTCCATCCCTCCTCATGCCTTCTGATATACTCCGTAATTTTTATTTTCAAGAACTTTTGAATTCAATGCACGTTTTAATGAAAATGTTCCACCCTTTGTGCACTCGATGAACGTGTTTATCTACTCTATTTGAGATTTCATGTTGTAAATGGACTGTATATCAGAATAGAGTAGATATCACTTTAAAATATATAAACAATTTTTTATATTTTTTGAATTCAACTAAAATTATAGAATAAATATATTTTTTGAGTTTATCCTACTTTCAGCATTTGAAGGTTATTCGATCTACATAAAAGGGTTGCCTCTCAATGCCACTCCATCTTCTCTTGCTGAAGAGTTTAGCAAGTTTGAGAATATCAAACATGGATCATTCAATTCAGAAATAATAAAGTATGTATATACAATTTAGTACTCGTATTGCAATATCTTTTTCATTTGTTACTGGTTTGTGACAGATACAAAGATTTTATTTTGGGTGTGTGGAATTTGAGGAGACAACATTTGTGCAAAAAGCAATTGAGGTATTAATTTATAGGTAAGGTCATACACAATTTCAAACTTACGTATGTAAACATTTCATTTTTTATAAATAATAATACCTAGAAAGAGTAATTTCAAGATATTTTTCTTATTGATTGAACATAGTGACCAAATTAATATATTTTTTTGTGACTTTGATGCATTTAATCTTACGAATTGATAACTCTATTTTTTAAAATGAAATCAAATGTTTGGAAATCTCAAATTACAAAATAGTTTTGAAAAAAGAGGTACCAATTATGATATTGACGAATAGATATTGACCTAACATCTGGATTATGTAATGGGATAAGATTAATCGTTGAAGAGCTGCGAAAAAAATGTTATCAGTGTAATTGTGGATTAAAAAAATCGAGTTGGGAAAAAGATTTACATCCATAGAATGAATTTTGTATCATCTGTCCGACGATTACCCCTGAACTTCTAGAGAAGAAAATTTCTGATCGTCTTATGTTTGGCTATGACTATTAACAAAAGTCAAGTTCAAACATTATCATTTGTGAGATTATTTTTAACAAATTAGTGTTTACGCATGGTCAACTTTATGTTTCTACTTCATGAGTGAACACAAAGACACAACTAAAAGTCTAAAAATAATAATTCTAGATGATAATGAAAATCCTTGCAACCATAACAAAAATTTTGTATACCATGGATAAAAGTAATTTTAAAAAATTTAGTACTAAAACAAACTTTGATAAGTCTACGTTCAATTCCTCGAATGATATTTATTCTTCTTTGGCATTTTTTGTATATACTATTACAAAACATGCAAGAGATATATTTTCTTTATTCCGGTGAAAAAAATGCATTAAAAAATATTTTTTGATTCGACAAATTTTATTCGATCCCGTGCGTGGCACGGGTTAAACACTAGTTAATAAAAAATTACCAGTAATTGTGAAATCAATAAACATCCTAAAACAAATCATTTCTATTCTTAGTTTTACTAACATTTCGAGCCGAGTCTGATCAAAAAAAGAAAAAAAAATAACACTTCGAGTCTTCAACTTAACAATTAAAAAATCTCAAAGCGCGTGCACGGGTACTATCAATATGGTCGATTACAAGCACACATATTTACACATGGCCCGGTTACAGTTACAAGGATAAAACAAGTGACATATATCAGTGTAAATGTGTAATCTCTTCCCTGAAGGACACAAGACACAATTTCTTTACTTTTCCAAGCATGTTGATCATGACAAGTGCACTAACAATTCGACACAATATTATTTATACATTGTCATCAATTTTTCACACATTTGAAATCTTCATGCAGTTTAAGTTGTGTCCTCTTGTTCTGTGTTGTAGGAAGAACACAACCCGATTCCTTGCATCTGACCCACATGGATGTCTTTCTTTCTTCACATTTCCACAACTTTGAAGAAATTGACTTAAATCTACTCTTGGCAATAGAGATCAAGAGGGTTACAACCTCTCTGTAAAATAAAAGTTCAATGACTAATCAGTAATAGAACTATGGAAGGCTGAATTTAGAGAAAAAAATTCCAATAAGACACTTTAAGTATCATATTTTCCTTGAACACACAACGAACTCTAGTTAATTTCAAGCAATGAAAATAAACGAGATTTTCTGGAGCACTTATCATAGCAATTCAAAAAAATTCTACTTACAGGGGTGAGCAAGGAGAACGGCCACAGTTTACGTAGTATATGAACAAGAATGCATCATAATAATGGCCTTCAATCAGATAAAAAGAATGCAATTTCCGTTCACACTTGAATGACATTTTCTGGTACAAGAAGATTGCTGGTTCATTGTAAGAGATCACATGCAGATACACTGCTTGGCAAGTTGGGATGCTTGATGCATATTTTATGACCTCACGGATCAGAGAACACGCTAAAACTCCAACACCGGGGAACAACCATTAGTAACTAGCAGCAGCTTTTTTAAGTGTTTATAAAAAAAAATGCAAAGCCTCACCAATGCCATTGTTCCTATAAGATTCTAAGACTCCCAGTGTCAATATATAAACTAGAGTCTGGTCGGGCTTCAATGGGTCAAACCTGATCAAATCATCCACCTGTACAGAGATCAACGTCACAAATAAACAAAGACCTTCCAAATCCCCCCCCCCCAAAAAAAAAGGCATTGAACTTTCAACAAAAAGCCTTGAAGTCTTCAAGTACCCCATTTAGTATCCCTTATAAATTATACTCCCTCCGTCCCATTTTAAATTGCCTATTTGCCTTTTTTCTCCGTCCCAAAATAAGTTGCCTGTTAGTTGTTTTCGTAAACTTTTAAAAATAAAATACCTAAACTACACCTAAAATAAGTCACTTTTCTTCACCTTATCTTCTCATTCATCATCACCCCTTCTAAAAAGTAATGGCAATTTCGGAAAATCAACTCTATTTTTTATTTTCCTTAAATATGCCCAAAAATCAAAACAGGCAATTTAAATTGGGACGGAGGGAGTAATCATTAATGAACATAAACCTTAAAGAAAAGTCCTAATTGACTTTGGACATGTCGTGTATGCAGAAGCTATAAAAAACTAACACGAGTAGGTATAGGGAGAATGATGTATATAATGATAAGATCATTTGGATTTTGGAGTGATAAGAACGCATTGTAAATCAACAAAACAGCCCAAATTGAATCAAAAATTCAAGCTGTTTGTGTTTTATATGTTGCAACTAGTCATATCATCAATTACACCTTAATTCGTGTGCCTTATCTTGTTAGTGTTAAAAAAATATTTGCATATAAAGCATATCAAAAATCAATTTTTTTGAAGGGGTAAGTGTGACCAATAAGAGACTTAGGTTAATTTAGAGGGCTACATGAGGCTCGTGAGGAGTTTGGCATCAAACAGGGTTTGTCTCAAAAAATTAGTGTCATTTTTGGATATTCTATCGAGAAAGACTTGTACAAGATCCCATTACTTGAAAACAAACATGAAGCAAACCCACCTCAGAATCTCTTGTGGTGAGAGTTCGTGCAGTAACAAATCCAATAAGTTCATCACTTTGACCATTGGGCCTATTGCAATCAACAGCTCCCCACGATACAATGTCACGTCCATTTACAACATTTTGAAAAAACTCAGATTCATACCTGATATACAAAAATTAGACAATTTTCAACATCAAATGCATATTTAGAATTTATAACCAGTACAATTGAGATAAAACAACGAACACACAATTAGAGATCACCTGACCTGATAGGGAACAAATCACCATGGATCTTCTCAAGAACTTCTAAATCAGAAGGTCGTATAGGTCGATACGATATGATAGGACGATGTGAGGTTTTGATGTTTACCATTGTATCATCACAGCCAAACTACAGTGCCATATATGTTTTCTCTCCATCTATGCAACATCAGCAATTTAATTTCCAAAAAACTCGTAAAACATTTCCCTTTTTCCAAATTCATTAATGCACATAAATGAAAAATAATACAAGTCTCATGGAAAAAGTCACTTGAAGGTTAACAAGTCAATACAATAAAATAGTGAACTGAGACACAAGCAGAATGAGAAAACTCAAGAATAAAATGATGCATGTAGAGATGCTGTTTGGTAGAGTATCTAATTTTTACAATTCCTTTAGGCATTGCGCAACAACAACCCAATAGGATCGGTGCTGAATCCCTACATCTAACCAAGGAATCCGTATTTCACAACCTGCAGGCAGCAGGTCGAGATGCTATTTACAAAAGTCACCATTGCATAGCACTTAAATGCAAATACTTAAGGTGGACGGGTCAACAGTGCTATAAAAAAACCTAGAGGGAAAGGGTAGAAAAGAATTGAGAGGGTGATAGCAAAAGAAAACACAAAGTTGTGTTTAACAGTATTTATTGTAAAGAAGAAACAATTTTATTTGTGCTTTTACTTTTATTATGAAACCTGATTTGGGACCTCTCTTTCATAATACAGTGTAGTATAGAGAATCTTCAAACTTTACTTTTTACTGGTTTGCTCTTAGTTTATGAATCTCTACGTTTTACTTTCTATATTTAAGTGCATTCCTTTTTTTTTTAAAGAACACGCTATATAGCCATTCAGAAATGAAAGATTATAGGGCTAAGGTCTAGCAAAGGTCCCAATTACAATGAGCTCCGCACCACAAAGGGAGTACAAAATGAACATTAGGCTCTTCGAGCCTGAAAGTGTGAATGTTCAGTAAAATAGATGTCAAGATTTAGTAAACATTTCGAATGTAGAAATTAGTAACCAAGTGTAGAGATGAATAACAGCCATGGAGAAGCAGGCTCAAGTATTCTAAACAAACAATTCTAGCAGCTGACAATAGCTGCTAAGATCAAGTGTAACTTGTTTAACAGCCAACATTTATTACTTAAAAGCTTTCACATGAAGAGAACATCATTTACACTTCCCACAAAATCTCTCCAAAGACTCCACAACGTTAGAAATAGCAGATAGATTGTTTGTGGATGACTATCAACAAACTGACGGAATAGTACATATAAATCATATTCGCACCAAACAGTAAGATGAATATCGAACATGGATTGGAATCACAAAATCCCCAGAAAAAAGGGGGATCTTTCCGATTGAAAACAAAAGGAGATCATTGCATAAATGGATTGATCCGCATCTTTAAAATAAAAGACGCATAAAACATACCTATATGGTGGAGGAGAAATTGATAAGGCGATGCAGTCGAAAAAAGATTCAGGATCGAGAGGAGAAACGGAAAGAGGAGCACATTTTTGAAACGGGAGAAAATGGTTAGGGAAAGATAGAAGAAATAGACCGAGGATTGCAATTTGCAAACTGTGAAACAAAAAGCAAAGAATCGGATACTATGGTCTGCTTTTTGAAGAGAAGTTTTGTACCATGGCTTCCTCCCAATCCTTCTTCCACTTTCATGCTTGCTGTCAACGATTCAACTCGGATTTCTCCGTAGAAATTGGAAATTGGTGTGTATATTTTGTAAAATTAACTTTTTCAGTCTCATCATTTTTTAAAATATACTTCAGAGGATTTTCCTATTTTTCCTTTTATTATTATTATTATTGTTGTTGTTGTTGTTATTATTATTATTATTATTATTATTATTATTATTATTATTATTATTATTATTATTATTATTATTATTGTTATTATTATTATTATTATTACTCCCTCCGTCCCATATTATTGTTAGAATAGGTGTCCTTCACTAGAGGGGGGTGAATAGTGAGCCACGAGAATGTTTATAAATTTTCGCGGAATAAAAATCGCAGGGATAAAGTAAAGAGCGGAATAAAAAGGAGTAAAGGAAGCACACCAAAATTTATACTGGTTCACCACAACGTGTGGCTAGTCCAGTCTCCCGAGAGACTCTCTCGAGCTACACTACTTCCGTTAAGCTTACGGGTGCTTAACAAACCGTTACAACCTGAGAACTCGAGTCCCACGAGCCTCAATACACTTGCTCACTCCAAGACTTCAACCCGAAGGAATATGCCCTTCCTTCGTACAAACAAGGGAACAAACCTCCCTTAAAGTGTTCACAATGGGTACAAACAAGGGAACAAACCTCCCTTAAAGTGTTCACACTCAAGAACAAAAACTCTCTTTAAAGAGTAGAAAATGAGTAAACTAATTTAGATCAAGAACACACTCAATTCCTCAAGAAATGGCTCTAAAAAGCTATGTAAAAAGTTTATGGAATGATGCAATGTAAAGCTATGAAATGTGTGAGGAATGGTTGTGAAAAGTAGACCCAAGATACCCCTTTTTATACCCAAAAACAAGGTGCAACGGTTGGGAGAATATTGGGGTTGATTGGCATGATTTGTGGAAATCAAATAAAAGTGGATCTGCTGAAATCTAGCCCGACAGCGTTGTTCATATAGTGAACATCGCTGTTCTGGCTTTGACTTTCCTTTAAAAATGGCTAACGGTCACCAAAACATCGATGTCTAGAAGTCTACATCGCTGTTGGGGTGTTTGACTTTCAAAAATGGAAAGATTTTGTCTTAAATAGCCCAATGGTCATTTGAAAACATCGCTGTTCAACCATGAACATCGCTGTTCTAAAACTTACTGCCCAGGGCTTCTGAAGGCCAACATCGCTGTCGGGATTTCCGACATGCATGTTGGGATGGTTTGCGAGGACCATGGTTTGGCAGCCAACGCCGAAAACCGATGTCAAAAACCAAAGTTCTCCAAAATGAAAACCAAGTATTGGAAACTCTTTTATAATGTATTTTAGGTAGAAACCAAGTATAAAAACTTAAAAACCACTTCATTAAGGTAAAAATCACGGCTAGCCAAGTTTATGCCGTTTCACATGGTTTTCACCAAAAGACCAAAACCGAAAGGTGGTTTTTAACATGTTTTTGTTGTAGAACCATTTGGATATGTCCAGAAGTAAAAACCAATCATAAAATATTAAAAACCACTTGATTGTTTTGGACGCCAAAAACCAACGCCGATAACCAACACCGAATGCTGATAACCAACGCCGAAAAACAAAGGTTATGGTTTTTGAAAACTAATCATTTGGAAAAACTTTAAATGTGTCCAGAAGCATAAAACAAAGATAAAAACCTAAAAACCATTTGGTTATGGTTTTGGTTAAGAAAGAACCATGGGTTTTAGAAACTTAAAAACCATTTATGAAAACATTAATTTGATGCATGAAAAACATATTTTGTTTTGAGCCATGACGTAGAGAAATTGAATGAGCTTGTTACAATAAAACCTAAGTCTTTAGAATACGTCTTCAAAGCGCCAATGTCGCCATCTTTAGCAACATCAATGCCGTTCTTGTGCTTTTTGTTTCTTCAAAGAACTTTTTCTATCTTTTCATTTTGTTCCATGTTCACGACGGTTTGTCAATATCAAAACCTAAACGGAAACAAACATTGTCATTAGCAAAATGTCAAAGTGAAAATGTTTTCCAACAATTATAACGCCTGTTTTGGTTTACGATGTTTGATTAAAATTATTTTCAAATCATTTTATATGACAAATAGTATATAGTTAAAAGATAAAAATTACATATTAAAATACTACATCAAAAGATTTACAAAACTAGTATTCACAATAGTACTTTATTTTATCAAATTGCTAACGAAAATTGAGAAAGAAAGTAAATGGAGTTTTATCCTATGAATAATGAACAGAAATTATAATTTGGGACGGAAGAGTAGTATTAGTATTAGTATTACTATTGTGATTATTATTATTATTACTATTACTACCACCACCACCACTATTATTACTGTTGGAGTTGTGTCCTGATGGCCAACTGTTTATTGTTATCTATACTCTACTTAAAAGCAGGGGAAACATAACAATTAATTCCTTCCTTTTAAGAAGATCCCTTCCCCAATTAACTGAATTAAATACTCTATTTATTAATGTTCTTAAATAAAATTATAAAACCAGTTCTAAGCCATTATTACTAAACCGGTGATGATGGCGATTGAGGGTGTGTATTAAGGTTCTGCTTTTTTTAATTATATTTATAGATAGATTTCAAGATTTTTGTGTGTTGCATTTTTCAAATCTTACTCGATGCCCATTTCTACAGAATATTAAAACTTTAAAAAGATCCTTTGTACTTTTTAGGGTTTAATTTTTATTGGCAGTGGAGTATAAAGGAAGCAAATAAGAGATGGTATTTATACGGAATATAAAGGAAACAAATGGATTTTGAATTAATTGTACCAATTTAATTGCAAAAATAATTCATTCACTTTTGAAAAATAAATGCTTATCCGATGATTCATTCCAAAAATTTAATATTGTTTTTAATGAAACAACATTTTAAAAGATTTGAAATTGTTGTTACAATTTTTTACGTTCAGTGGAAGAATTAGATTTAATTATTGCAAAAAATGTGCTACTATTTTGTTTTGTATTATAATATTTTCTCTAAAACAAAACTAAATACTCTTTAATGACACACGACACAATTTTATTCTCAAAATGGTATTAAAAATTAATTTTCCGATAATCCATTACAAATTTTTTCTTGAAACAAAACAACCAAAGAAGTTTAGAGCCTATATGTTTTTAAAAGACTGACACAAATATTCAAAAAGAGTGTACTATTATGTTTTCTGAAACATTATTTAACATTTAAAAACTTAAAAAAATTAAAAAGAAAATTTCTTTCAAGTAATCCCACTTTTGAAGAAAATTTGTTTCAAGTAATCTTACTTTAATCCACTGTTACATCTCTAAGGATAATCCAAAATTTGCACACATGCAAAAAAATTAGATTTTTACACATAGTTTTAAAAAGTTAGATTATTTTTGGAAATCGTGTCATTGTGAGATTATTTCATATTATTTTCCCTTAAATTTTTTAATACAACGTATGCTATTTTGTAATCTAATTGATGTTCATACAATATTTTGAATTTAATGCAAATGTTCTAAATATAATTTTTTAAAAATACATTTCTATTTGTATAAGTGGACCGATACATTTTTACTTCATTATTAATTAAGTTTTTAAAATAAAAATAATCTCATTAGCACTTGAACGAGAAAAGAGGTAAGAAATTTTTTTAAGACAAGAAGTTCTAGAAGTTGAATAAAAAAGGAATAGAACTATGGATTATAAAGGAAGCAAATAAGAGATGATATTTATACGGAGTATAAAGGAAACAAATGGGTTTTGAATCAATTGTACCAATTTAATTTCAAAAATAATTCATTCACTTTTGAAAAACTTTTGTATGTAGTACAAAAACATGCATTAAATCTTAAAAAAATCTATTCTAGGAAAAATAAATTCTCATCCGATGATTCATTCCAAAAATTTAATATTTTTTAATGAAACAACATTACTGTTCTATAAAAATAAATGCTCTTTTTCAAAAACAAATGCTCTGTTTCAAAAAAATTAAAAAATTAAAAAGAAAATTTGTTTCAAGTAATCCCACTTTTCATTTCTTGACGCAAAATAAGCTCTTTTTCAAAAAAAATCTTTAATTCACTGTTACATCTCTAAGGATGATTCAAAACTCGCACACATGCCAAAAAATAAGATTTTTACACGTAATATTGAAAAGTTTGATTATTTTTTGGAAATCGTGTCATTGTGAGATTATTTCAGATTATTTTCCCTTAAATTTTTTAATACAACGTATTTGTTAAAATTGGTATTTGTAATCTAATTGATGTTCATATAATATTTTGAATTTAATGCAAATGTTCTAAATTTTATTTTTTTAAATACATTTCTATATGTTTATTGTAATACCCCAACCCGCATAACCCGAAGCGACGAGTTAGCGAGTCGGGTTGCTACTAATTTGGTATTCACGTGCATAATATTTAAAAAACACTTATAAATAAAACCAACATTCATATTTATTGAAAAACAATAAATTGTTTAATCAGAGTAAATAACTGAAACATTGCAGAAGCCTTAAAAAAACAACATTCAACGTTCTAGTAATTTATTTAAGTAAACAAATTCAACAACTATATTAAATTTAAATAAAACAGCTTCGGTCATCCACCAGTGTCACGCCTCACTGTCCTCCAAGCTGCTCCTCATCCAATATACTTGATCCCTACCTGTGAAAAATAGGGAGCGTAGAAGTATCTAACGCTAAAACTAACTCATAGACTAGCACCCATTAATATTTAATCAAACAATATCAGAAGAATCAGAAAATATCATTATCCAACTGTACCACTATTAATCCATATAATTCAGTTTAGTTCTTACGCATACTTACTCCATCTGCCTGCTAGATATAATCAAATTCATATCTACGGGAGTAATGGAATCCAGGCTCTCGCCCAAACCCACACTCATAACTCCAAAGCTCTCGAAATGGAGGGGGTTGAGGCCCCCGCTGGCTCTCGCCAGAGGTCAATGACCACCGTGCACACGTTTTTAACCCTCGAGACCATCGAGTGCACGCTGTCACCTGCATGACCTCAATTTCTAATATTCAGTCCTATTTATAATTCAAATATTCAATTCAGCTAAACTACTAGTTTTGTAGATTTGGATTAAACTGTAATTATTAGCTAATTTTGATATTCTTTATTATAATAAAGGAGACTCGGATGCACGAGAATGCGACATTTGGCATGCCTATTTGGAAAAAATGGAACACATCAGCAAATGTTATCCTTTATATATAGAAAGCATGCCTATTTGAGAACCAGATATATTAATATGAATAAGTACACAATTTAGGGTTTAGAAATTGCATCGGATGTAATTAGAAATACATGACTAATATGTTGAGTATGAAATAAATGTACTACCTCATCTAATTAGAAGTTCTAATTACGTTTTAAGGACTATTTTCAAATTAAAATATTTTGTAGGGATGACTTTATCAAAAAATATTTTACAGAGACTAAAAAATTTCTTATTTTATAGGGTATAAAAACATATTTAAACCTATTTTTATTATATTATAAAAGACAAATGATTAAAACAAAATATACCATTGGGACTTATTATATTACACTAACATTATTTATGATTTTATTATCATTGAATACATTTAATTAAGAGAGATATTTATTTTTTATTAGAATATTGTTTTAATTTTTTTATTTCATTTATAATAATAGTTTCAATGAATATATAAACTACTCTCTTTATCTTTAACAAAATTTTATATTTCTTTATGTTATGATTAAGAGAATTTAGCTTTATTCCATTTATTTAAATAGTGATGTAAAATAACAAATACTTATTAATCCCTATATTAAAATTATTTTTTTTTTTGCACAGAAATACTATCTTTTATATCACTCCAATCAAACATGTTACAAACAATAATCAAATACCTTTCTAGTCTACTACTTTTTGCAACATAACAGTTTGTAACGTAAATTTAATACTAGCTAACATCTCTTCTTCCTTCATTTCTTTTTGATGAGTTTTTACTCTATTTTTAAGAAAATAAAACTAATTATTGTTCAAAAAATAGTACTTATTTAAAATAACACTTATTATTATCATTATTAAAAAATATTAGTAATTTTACTACTCTAATATTTTTGACATTTGATGTTATCGCCGACAACCGTCATTGGTAGTAGTGAATCCTGAAAATGAGAGGACCGTGTCTCTAGATTTTTTTAAAGATCATATGAAATGATAAAAATAGTTTTAATTTCATATTATTATTATTATGAACTACAACGTATACTTTATAACCAAGTGAATAAATAATCTTAATTTTATAAACTATACATAAATATATTACTAAAATTAATTTTCAATTAAAGCTTTAGAATATTTAAACTTTTGTTAACTCAAGTGAATATTAGAAAAAAGTTAATGGGGACACACACAAATTTTTCATGGGGCCTTAGTAAAACAACTATTTAAATAAAATAATGAATATATAATAAATAATGATAATAATAATAACAAATACTTACAAATAATAAAATAATACTCCATAATATCTAACAACAACAATAATTATAATAATAATTATAATTATAATAATAATCATTTAAAATAATAATAACAATAATAATAGAAGAAGAAAAGAAAAAAAAATAGAAGAAGAAAAAAAGGGAAGGGACGGGGGGCTGGATGGGATTGAGTGCATAGAAGGAGGAGGAGGAGAAAAGAAAAAGAAAAGAAAAGAAGAAGGCTGAAAGATGGTGAAGAAGAAGAAAAAGTTAACAGAGAATGGAAATTGACGGAGAAAATGACGGATTGTCACTCCGGAGTAACTTTTCGAAAATTTTAAGGTTTTAAGGTACCCCGGAGTACATTTTGAAAAATAATGGGACCTGCGAGTCCTTATCACAAAATTGAGAGTATCTAGAAGCAATTTTTTGGAAAAATTTCAAAAAAAGTTAAGCCAGCACAAAAAATCCAAGGATGGAATCGACCAAAGGCTGGGGACCTGTCGGGCACCCGCTCCATGTGCTAGCCAGACTCACGGACAAAAAATCCTAAAGAAAAAAAAGGAATATTCAAAGATTTAACACAAGGCTACCTCCCAGGCGGCCACCCCACTGCTAGCCCTAGCCTAATGACATCATACGTGATGTTTTTGGCCAGTTTTGGAAATTGGACGCAAAACCAGCCCCGCGGTTTCCCTATAGACAGTGGATTGGCCTGCTGAAGGCTTGTTTGCAGCATTGTATACTTGGCTTCATCGAGTTCTTATACATTAAATAAGCTAGGGTCCGTTTGGTATACAGAATTGAAGGAATTGAAATTGAATTGGAATCGAAATTCCATGAGATTCAATTTCATAGAATCAAATTCAGCAGTTCCAATTCATTTTTTGTACTATCAATTCCAAATCTACACAAGTTTTTTGCTACCAAACACCAGATTTAGAATTGAAGTCTTCAATTCCAATTCCATACTTAGAATTCCATGTACCAAACGGCTGCAAAATGGCAGGTTAAGGAGGCCGTGACAGGAATGTTGGTATAAAATTCCATATATCTCTCTACTTGTAGTGCGCATAAATGGAATCGGGCTCAACTGCAGAAAGTGGGAGATATTTCGCCATTATCAATACAGAAAACCACAAGAATCTTCAGTTTCATTTGTACAAAGTTTGCAGGTCTTGCTCCATATAAGGAAAGGAAAAGCTGTATGGGCACTACAACAGCTTAAGTCCACCGGTTACATCGTCCACCATATCTGCTGGTCCTGCACATATAGTGGTTTATGTAAAATGGGAAGACCGAACGGCTAAAAGGATGGTTTGCAAATTTTTAATGTCAGTGGAATAATGAACAGATCAGAATAGGGAGGATAGGCAGTAATGACATATTTGAAAGCTCCAGGACACATGTTAACCCTACCAAGAATTGCCATCACTGTCCTTGAGTCTGCAGATTGGAAGAAAACAGATCAGATGATCATCCACCACAATGAAACAAACATAGAAGATTAAAAGAATTTTGTTTCTTTTCCCAAAAAAAAAAAAAATCTATAAGATTATTTTTCTTCATAAATATATTTGGCAAGTCCAGTGAATGAGTGAATAGTATTTATTTAGTCTCATTCCAAGTAGCTGAACAATGGATGAAAAATTTTGTTTAAAACTTCATTGTCCAAAAAAATTACTCCCTCCATCCCCAAATAAAAGTTACCGTTACTATTCCCGCATCAGGACAACTTTTGTTTACTTACATAGTATAATCATATCACCTCTTGTTTTGTAGAACTTTTCACATACATTTTTAAAATGTAAGTATTATTTTTAATTTCTATACCAATTTTTGAATTCAATGAATTAAAAAAAACACTTCATTTTGCCTCATAATTCTCTCTGTAACTCTTATTTGGGAATGGAGGGAAAATTAGAGTCCGTTTGAAATTGTCCAAAAAGTGTTGAAATAGGGTATAGTAGTCTTACTAGACCGTATCATTCAACAGTCATGAATGTATAGATATTTGAATTACGGAAAATTATCAATGTTTGTAAATATTATAAAAGTTTGCTTTTTTGACATTAGGGCCAAATGTTATAATATGACATTGGCTCGATTGGGGCACCTATGATGTCCCGTTCGTAAAATTGACGGTTGCTAGCCCCCGGCAACCGCCCCCCCCCCACCACCACGCACACATACAAAGGTTATAAGAACGTACTTGGTGCAATTTGAGTTCTCCCAGCATCAATGGTTACATGTGTTGGTAAGTTAATCAATTTTGCCTTTTCCTGTTAAAAAGAACAGATACCATAAGAAAACTATGGGTAAAATATTTTTGTCAGATAATGGAAAACACACACACACACACACACTCTCTCTCTCTCTCTCTCTCTCTCCAGTATGCATATACATGCATACGCTCTATAGAGATGCACAAATCAGTTCAAAGGAGCATACAAGATTGTTTCTAAAAGTGATACAAAATATTTGATAATAAGGGGCCTTATGTGTTTACATAGTGAAAAAAAATGAATACTTTATTTTGAATAAAATAAAATAGGAGTTAAAAAACTAGCTAAAAGATGTTAGAAAATAACTAAAAAGGCAGGGGGGGGGGTAAAAAATAAGGTGGGAATGGCAGCCAACAGGATTCGAACTTTGGACTAAATGGACAATTTTTCAGGATATAGCCAGCTCCACTACTAGCATACTATGGCTGGATACTACATATAAACACTTTTTAATCTTATCAGTGGAGTCAAGTGACTTCACTTGACCACCCCAAGGTCAGCCCCTGCATGCATATGCTCTATAGAGATGCACAAATCAGTTCAAAGGTGCATAAAAGAATATTTCTAAAGGAGATAATGTGTTCTGATATGTAAGTAATCGATGTATCAGCAGGCCAAATTAACACTTCAAGTGAAAACTTGAAAACATATGAATAGAGCAACATCAGGATGGTATTATCCTGACACACTGATATAATAAATTTACTTGTAAAGCCAGCATATCATCTTCACTTTCAATTTTGACAACGACCTTAACCTGACCACACATCTCCCACCTGCAACAATGAATATATTCAATTTATAAATAAAATTGCTCACTTCCTCCGAACTAAAAGAGTATTGCATGGAAAATTACCTTCCCAGAGCTTTTGGTGCCCGGTTATAAAGCTTCTTGTATAGACCTAAAGTTGCATGGCTGAATATCAATCAAGAGCAGAAAGGGTCACAACAAAAAAAAGGAATGCGGAGTATACCTAAAAGATAATAAAAAAAAGAAAACGGACTGTTTTCATTTTGGATCCAAAAACAAGATAACAAGCTCAAGTTGTAAGCATTAAGTAAAGTCCATAAAGATTACAATTAGCAGGAAAGACATCAAAACAATGGAAATGAACATTTGTCATATTATTACTTGAACAAATTACCTTTTATTGCTTTACACAACAACTTTAATGTCAAATCAATGGGGTTGGCCACAGAGACTAACACATAGCATTCCAAATATTGCAGTTTATATCATTACATATATAAGCTTAATTATTCTGTAAGAAAGGAATAGTATCAGTAATAACTAAATATAGTTTTGAGAGTTCAAGTTCTAGACAACAATAAATACCTGCATTGGGCAGCAATCTTTCCTTTCCCCATCTTTAAGTCGTTTCTTACAACTAAAACCTGAAGAATGGAAAATGAAGTGGTTTAATCTTTTCTTCTTGAAGTGGTTTGATTTTTTCTTCTTGAAAAAATATTTCAAATATACAGTAATGGATAAAAAGGAGGAAACTCCAAAGAATTTATAGATGTGAGTTATACTTTGGTTTGATGAATTATAAATACATAAACTTTTGATTGTTAATAAAAAGTTTTTAAGATGGTTAATTTGAAAAAGGAAATAAAATATGAAGATACTCTGTTCGCCGACAATTTTAGTCCCTTTTTAAATTGTGTCCCTCTATTTTTGTCTCATGCCATATTTAGTAACACTTGTGAGTTTGATTTCTTTTAATCAACGTAAAGATTCCACTTTTCATAATTTGCGAGCAACATATCAGTGTCCCAAAAAATAGTGGGGCAGAGGAAGTAACTTTTTAGGTATCAATATGACTTTTGTCAGAGGTCTTTCGGAATCAATATCTCTATCTTTTTTAGGTCAGGGTAAGGGGTTCGTACACTCAATCGTGGACACCACTTTGTGGGATTTTACTGGGTAGGTTATTGTAAGACTTAATTTCTTTCAATAATATAAACGAAAATTTGTAAATATTGTAATTGCTCCTCTCTAGAATTTATAAATAATCATTTTCTTTAGTAAACAACGATAGAATCAAGTTGATGTAACAGAGAAGGTCAAATCAGCAAAACTGAATTTGGTTAATTGGCCGATTTAATAAAATATCATTTAATTCTTTATTTTTGAACTATACTATCCAATGGGAATTTCCACGCTGTTGGAGTCCTAGAGTTTGTTGCAGTCTGATGGAAACCTACTAGAATTAATTCAGGATCTAAATTAAGACTAAATAGAACTCTCCCTCCCTTCTCCCAAGAAGTATCTCACTAATGAAAAAGGAATAGAAGCCAAGACAATCTCAATGTGATTAATGGTTTATTTTTTGGATATCTCAGCAATAGAGAAGCTGGGATATTTATAACTCTAAAAAATTGACAAGATCAAAAATAACAAACTGATCTGATAAGATCAAAACAACAAAGTGATAAGTTTTGACTAACTAAGCTATCCTAGGGCCCAGGACTCCTAATAACCTAAAAGTCCTTTTATTTAATAAATATAAAACAGTAACAAACTCAATTAACGGACACATAATAATATAACTAAGGTGGCCTTCTGCTATCAGTGATCCTGAACTTATCATTACTCCCCTCTCTTAAAGACACCTTGTCCTCAAGGTGGAAGTCTGGATGTTGGTGTTGTATTAATTCGTTCAAAATCAAAGGAAATTCTTCCTCTACTCCTAACTGCAACTTAAGAGACATCATTGAATTTAATCTAATTCTTTGATCAACTTTCGAGATGCCTTGTAATTTATATCACTCCCATCAACCCAAAAAAATAAGAAACATTTTATTCCAGTTTGCTTGAATGGTATTCAAAGAGGCTAACCATTTGATTCCAAGAACCATATATAATCCAACTAGTGGAAATGGGTAAAAATCTTGTGTACGAGTCAAACTTGGAAGCTTAATTGAGACGTACTCGCAAATCTGATCACACTGAATAATAAAACCGCCTCTCTTATCCGTACCCCAAATGTCTGAACAGAGGAAACAGGCAGCTTAAGTTGCTGAACAAGTTTTTCAGAGATGATGTTCTGTGTCGAACCACTATTAGTTAACAAGAAAACTTCATGCCCATATAATTTTCCCACTTAGTTTCATTGCGGCAGACGTTGGCGTCCCTAGAATCCCATTAAAGGACACTTCCTCCTCTTTTGCCTCCCCATCAATGGGAACGTGTTTGAGATTCATCGGGTTACCCTCCTCATCAACTTCCATCAAACAGAAGGTAGTGGATGACGTCAAACAACGGTGACCCGGTACAAAGGGATCGCCACACTGATAGCAAAGTCCCTTATCCCTACGTTGTTGCTTCATCAACTTGTCCCTACTAAATCTCGAAATTGGCAAGGTTGGTGTTCTGAAGATCCTGAGAATGCAAGTGACTGGGGCGGGTGAGATTGGGACAAGTTTTTTACCTCTCGGTTTGGGTCAATCATAGAATCTGAACCAGCACCCCGGCCTGATCCCATAGAACTTGTCATGAAATGCAAAGGTGTATTTTGTTTCTTAAACTCAAGGGCTAGACTAGATGCCCTGAACACAGATTTGGGATTGTGGATTCTGACCTCCGACCTCAAATCCTCTCTCAAACCAGCAATAAAGACACCCAAGAGACAATGGTCGGGCCAATTTCGGACTCAAGCAACCCTTCTCGCCCACTCTTGACGATAGTCCCGTACGGAGCATGTATGTTTGATTAAGACAAGGTGTTCTTCTGGGTTTAAGTATTTTGGCGGTCCATAATGCTCCTCAATGATTTTGATGAATTCCTTCCAGTACAAGAGCGTCCTTTCAGCATTGATCCAGGATAACAAGTCGAGAGCGTGCATGGCCGCTATCTCAACCTTATCTTCTTCTAATGTTCCATAGTAATGGAAGTGCTTTTCAGCCTTCAACACTCAGCCCTGTGGATCTTCGCCGCTAAACTTAGGGAACTCAACTTCGGATCTGGGAAACGGCGGTGGCTGCGATCGTTTTCCTCATAAAGAATCGTCAATACACTGCTTTATGTTTGTCTTCCCTGAGTTACTTCTGGCCTGCGCTTTCAGGGCAGTCACTTCTGTCTTGAGGTCATCTAACAAAGAAAGCTTGGCAGCAATTAGTGCTAGAGTGTTGTTCTGCGAACTAACTTCGTTTGCTGGTTGCTCGTTGGATCCACTATCTTCACTCCCGGCAGTGTTTGCACGAGTAATTGCCATAGGGATCGAGTAACGAGTATCTGATACCAAATGTTAGAAACCTACTAGAATTAATTCAGGATCTAAATTAAGACTAAATAGAACTCTCCCTTCCTTCTCTCAAGAAGTATCTCACTGATGAAAAATTGATAAGATCAAAAATAACAAACTGATCTGATAATATGAAAACAACAAAGTGATAAGTTTTAACTAACTAAGCTATCCTAGGGCCTCAAGACTCCTAATAACCTGAGAGTCCTTTTATATACTCCCTCCATCCCATATCTTTCTTCTCACTTTTCTTTTTGGGTTGTCCCACTTGATTCTTCCCATTTCCTAAAATGGTATTAAAATACTCCTAAACATACTCTTTTACCCTTCTTTTCTCTCTCCCACCGCATACCCCTCTCTCATTCAATCATTCTTCTTTCTTTCTTCATTCTTTTGTGCGACCCCCCCCCCCTCCCTCTCTTCTTCTTCATCTTCAACACCAGTCCTTCCCCTTCTTCTTCTTCTTCCCCCACCCCTTTTCTCCTTCTCCGTCACAGGTCCCCCCTACCCCATGTATCCTTCCTTTCTCCTTCGAATCTTCTTAATTATGACTGAATCTTAATCTCGATTCCAGTTCTTAACCCTCCGTTGATGGCGGATCGAAGTGTGGCTTATAGATCTAATGAAGATGAGCCTTTCTTTAAACATTTGGCTTCCATTAGAATGATACGATTTCCATAGAAGACAATGCGATGAGATGTAGCTCGAGCTTTGGAAAGAGATGAATTCGCTCCATTCTAAAGAAGATTTGCTGTATTATGGGAGATTTGATTCTTTTTTTATTTTTAGGGCTCAGGTTCTAATAAATTAGGTGCATGTTGATCTATTTTTTTTTTTAGATTGGCCTTCAGATCTTGGTTAATTTGCTATATACTCATGTAAATGTTTGCTGTAAATTTTTTCTGTAAATATGTTGGATATGAAGATGATGATATGAAATTGGAGAGGAGATGAAAGATTTTGATATTTCTTGTAATGAAGGCGCTGGGATGGGGGTTGAGGTTAAGGAAGAAGAACATGAGGCTTGGTTGTTCACGATTCAGAATGGAAAGCAGGATGGGAGAAATAATTATGAGGGGCATAATGAGAAAGTCAAATTAATTTTTACTCTACATTAAAACCCGTGCCAAAACAAAATGAGAACTTTCAACTTGGACGGAGGGAGTAATAAATATAAAACAGTAACAAACTCAATTAGCCCACACATAACAATATAATTAAGGTGGCCTTCTGCTATCAGTGTTCGGGATCTTATCATAGTCTTTAGAGTTGTATCTTATGTTATTATCTCAGGTTATCCGAGAATATCTCTCAAGTTGTTTCCAAGTTAGTAGGTGGAGTCTGTTTCCTTCTATCCTTGTATTCTATACATATGCTTTAGACGTCTAATGCTAAGTTGTCATAAAATATAAATCTGATTTATTCCATTGACTCTCGTGCATCTTGTTCTTTCTTCAAGTAAGAGAGAGAGAGGGGGAGGGAGAGAAAATTTATGGGTTTATTTTTAGATCTTAAAAGTTAACCTCTTTGTGTTTAACAATTGGTATCAAAGCAAGATCTTAAAGTGTTAAACACAAATAGGTTAACAGATGTATTCTTAGATGTCTAAGGTATATATAAATGCCTGATAAGTTGGGAACAACCTGAAAGATATTCTAGGGATAAGTATAACTTAAATAATAACAACCAATGAGATAACTTCAATAACTGTTACAAACTCCAGTACTCCAACTGACTGGAGAGTCCTTTTATTGAGAATAATTCAAAAATAAAGAATGAAATGATATTTAATTAAATCAGCTAGGTAACCAAATTCAGTTTTGCTGACATGGCCTTCTCTGATAAGTCAACCTGAATTGATCATAATGAATTGTTAGAATCATGGTTGTTAAGTCGACAAGTCGAGTCGGTCACGGGGAGATTAGGGGACTAGTCGACTAGTCGTAGACTAGTCGACAAATCACAATTAGTATTGAAACTTTTAACATTATATATATATATATCTTCATTCACTACAAATAACTATATATATTTATATGACAAAATATCATTACCAAAGCAAAATTATGTTTAAAATCGTTTGGGTCCTTCAATGGATCCTCATAGTCACGAACATTATTATCTCTCATATGTTCTGAAACAAGTATAATTTTTTTATAAGAGATAAAACATATTAAATTAACTTCTTAAGTCAAAAGACTAAAATAACAACACAAACAATTGTTGATTGAAATCATCAAAAAATAAAAAATAAAAAATTGAATAAAATTAATAGAAAAAGTGTTAATTGAAATCAGAAAAAAACAGAACAGAATAAATTTTAAAAATAAAGAATATAATATACTTGTTTAATAGTTTAGTGAACCAAATTAAAGAAAACTAACCTAAATTTGGAAATGAAGTGAATGAATTATAAATACGGAGTATAAAATTTACCAAGGGAGAAATGCTACTCAGCGGACCTGAATCGTGCTATGAAGCGGAATACCGAGTTGGTCTCTTCTTCTCCATCCGATCAAGATGCAATGAAGAGGAAGATAAAAAATTGAATCCAGATCTGCTTCAAATCTTCCGTCGATGAGGAAGGATAGACATCTGCCGTGCGAGAGAATCGTTTTTGGATTACAGAATTTATCCGGTAATATTTAATACAGCGTATTTAATGAAATTCGAATCAGTCATGGGTCGGGTTGGGATCGGGTTGGGATCGGGTTGGGCTCTTCTTCTCCGACTAGTCGCTACTAAACAACGACTAGGCCTCGCCTTTCTCGGCCGGACGATTAGGCCACCTAGTCGCTAGGCGCCCAGTTTTTCCCCTTCCCCAAACCGCCTGGACGACTAGTCCACGACTAGTCGACGCCTAGGCGACGACTTAACAACCATGTTAGAATTAGAACTATGAGTATACTTTTCTTAACTGTAGCAAGAGTGCGATGTAAGAAAAGTTCTATGAATATCATCAAGTATAGACACACTCAGCACATTTCTAAGGAAGATAGGGGTGGCAGCTGCACTACCCCAAATCCTGCTCAGTTTTTGATATAAAAAGAGTTGTACCATCTTGAAGTCCTCAAGAATCTCAGCGAGGTTTTCAATCTCAAGGGGTTGTTTGGACGCCTTTTTTTTGTTCAGGTCAGCTACTATTCCAGCCTCTCCAGACGCTCTTCTTGAGAGGAAAAAGTGAGCAGAATGCCGTGCACCAAAAAGATATGCAATAGCAAGGCAGCTAGCACCAAGAAAGAAAGCCCCAAGCCATGCCATATCTGTCATGGTCAAATTATTCAAAGAAGCACCGTGGTCTAAGATCAATCCCCCAAGGAAAATTAAGTGCTGTAAATTTTCCCTTGCGCCAACTCAATCGCACCTAGAACATAAAAGTACAAGGTAAATCTCGCGAGTATCAACCTCTTAAAATAAAAAAAAAATATTACGTGAGTCTTCAACAGTTCAGCTTATAGGATTTCATATTAAATAGTTATTCATGTTAAAATATAAAAAAATTTCTGGGCTTCTAAAGCTCTAACCATCTGCTTTAACTTCGAGAGTAGATCTCTAGTAGTCTAGTCAATAACTTCCATGTCAATTTATGTGAAAGGTATGGAGGAGCATTTACTGCAGTCACGGTTCAAGCCAAAAAGGCATTTACTTGAAAGGTGCTTTAAAGCATAAAATTTTCATGGGTCTCTAACCATCAGCTTAAACATTTGGTATAGTTGAGGACACAGGCCCACAATTCACAGTGTTGAGGACTAGAGGTATATGTAATTTTTGAAAGATAAGAATGGTTTTTTACTTTATTAAAATAACAAAAAAATACTCCGTGACACATTACTTAACTCAGATAAATCCATACTCATTCATAACCTTACATTACATACAAGATATATAATATATGGACTATGGAGTATACAATGGATTTTACAACTGTGTTCATCTGGTTTTCATAACTTTAAAGTAATTTTTAATAGCATCAGGATGAAAATCCAAAATTGGCTTCCTCAACCCCGGGGTTACCTTCCAAAGATTCCAAAAATGTCTTTTGTTCATATTGATGATTCAAGAATGACAATGCCTGACTAGAAAAAGAGACATCTTTACACTTAAAATTAGAAGTATAAATGAAGATTCAACAAATTACAATTTAAACGATGAACCAATCACAAATTCACAATCGAAGCTTCCACAAATCCCAATTTTATGCTAGAAAAACAAACTGTCAAGATTCAGGGTTCAAATGCTCATATTCATTGCAATTACCAACCCTTTTAATGAAAGGAACGGGGTTCGACTGGGAGCTTTACAGTTTCCTGATTCACCTTCGCCTTTGCCAGTCGCCTCTGGTTTGCGTATGTATCCTGTGTGCGAGAATAGAAGATTAAACGAGGACGAGGAGTGAGGCCAGACCTAAGTCAATAGGTTCCGTTCGATCTTTTCAGTTCGTGTCAGTTTGATTTGGTTGAATTCCTTTCCTGATTTAATTCAGTTTGATTTTTTCCTTATATCTATTCAGGTTTAGTTTAGTTCGAGTTTATATAGATTCGAATTTATATCGGTTTGTGTTTATTCTAGTTCAGGTTTTTATCGGTTTTGAGTTTATACCAGTTCAATTCTTTACTTTTCAACTTTCTTGGGTGTGAATTACAGATATCAAAGGCTCAAAGCCCTGTTTGGAAATTGCATTAAAGTTTAACATAAGTGTTTTGAAAAGACTATTTATGGGTAGCATTTACCGTTAAAACTTTCAAAGTTAATCTTCACCGTTAAAACTTTATCCAAAACACTAATGCTACTAAAAACGCTAATCTCAAACAGGCTCCAAGTCTTTCTCCATTTGCTTATGGTTTAGGATCACCTGCAATGAAGAAATTAATGAAGAAATTAATCACAAGCCCACACTTAATTATAAGTTTTGATAAATTAGTGTTCTAAAAACTTCATATATCAAATAATTAAGGTGTAACTCCGTGACACCATTTCAATTAGGGTGCATGTGGTGTCACGGAGTTACATCATTTGGAATGGTGTGATTCTACATTTACTCTCTCTCTCTATACATACATATATTGATATAAAGACATACATACATACATACTCCGTATAAACATATAACTATATATATATATATATATATATATATATATATATATATATGCTTTAGCCATGTACATGTATATATATGTTACATTATATATTATATTATGTACATTTTATTTTGGAGTGTCATTTTAATTATGAAAATAATTATTTTGACAAAAACTATTTTAAATTATATTTATATACTTGTTTTAAAATGTTTTGGGTATTTTATTTTATGTCATAAAATTATTGATGTCAAATAAAATACACTTTGGTAGAATTTTAAAACACATTATTAATGAAATGTATGTACATGTACGTTTGAAGTACATGACATAATGTCTCTTGAAGTGTTTTGATTGCATGGCTATGAATGGAGATAGCTTTTTGATTTTGGAGTTTAGCTTATGTCCATGTTTTCTCCACCATTTTAAAAGTCTTTCTTTTTTTTTTTTGGGTTGAGATGGCCGAAAGTTTTGAAGGAGAGGAGAGAAATATTTGAGTTCCCAATTACTAATATTTTAATGTAGAAAATACTATAATATTTTCTTTAAAATATTATTGATACATTTTCTACTCCCTCCGTCTCAATTTAAATCGCCCGTTTTGACTTTTGGACATATTTAAGGAAAATAAAAAATAGAGTAGATTTTTCAAAAATGTCATTACTTTTTAAATAGTTTAGATATTTTATTTTTAATAGTTTACGAAAACAACTAACAAGCAATTTATTTTGAGACGGAGAAAAAAGGCAAACAGGCAATTTAAAATGGGATGAAGGGAGTACTATTTAAAATACAAGATTAATATTATCCCTCTTAAATCTTTATATTAAAATATACTATTATAATCTTTACTAGCATAAAAATTATAGTAGACTCCGGAGATTGTTCGTGTGTCAAAGTTGGAGGCCGGATGCTTGAACGGCTACGTTTGCTTCTTCAACATCTTTTGCTCGACTTCTCGTTCATACCGTTTTACCGAAAAAGGTATAAGTTTCTATCTCTAGCTATAGTTTTAGTACGTGTTCTTGGGCTAGTAATCACTATTGGGAGATTATTTTGTATTTCCGCTGCTCTCCCTACCGTGGTTACCTTTCACTGCACTCAACCTTTTCTGCACACTTTGTATTAAAATTAATATAACTAATATATCCTTTATTGCAAATACTTTTGCACTCATTCAATGATTGATGGTCTTTTTTTGAGATTGTGTAGGAAATTACAGTTTGAAGAACTCTTGTTCCTGGGCTTCCTCTTGTTCTTCTTCGTCCGCTTGGTCCTCATTTTCGACCAAGAGCATTTTGCAGGGAACTGCCGTCCTAAGAAGTATTTCACTCACCTGGCTTCAGTGCGGTAGAAGCATGGAGAATCCTTGAAAAATTTCCTTATCCGGTGGAGGAAATAGTCCAGGGAGGTTGAAGGAACTGACGACAAATCCAGGTTTGCCATGTTCACGGCGGCGTTGCAAGACGGTCTCCTTCATACTGATCTCACAACTCATCCCCCAGATACCTTCGAAGAAGCAATGGTCCGGGCTGGAAGGTATGTGACCCTGGAGGAAAGGAAGGAAGAGAAGAAAGAGAGGACTCCTAAAGAAGAAGAAAAGGCAGGAAATAAGAAGTCGTTCAAAAACAAGAAACAGGGCTTCCCGGATGGCCCAAGAACACGTACTAAAACTATAGCTAGAGATAGAAACTTATACCTTTTCCGGTAAAGCAGTATGAACGAGAAGTCGAGCAAAAGATGTTGAAGAAGCAAACGTAGCCGTTCAAGCGTCCGACCTTCAACTTTGACACACGAACAATCTCCGGAGTCTACTATAATCTTTATGCTAGTAAAGATTATAATAGTATATTTTAATATAAAGATTTAAGAGGGATAATATTAATCTTGTATTTTAAATAGTACTCCCTCCATCCCATTTTAAATTGCCTGTTTGCCTTTTTTCTTCGTCCCAAAATAAATTGCTTGTTAGTTGTTTTCGTAAACTATTAAAAATAAAATATCTAAACTACCCTTAGAATAAGTCATTCTTTTTCATCTTATCTTCTCATTCATCATTACCCCTCTTAAAAAGTAATGACATTTTTGAAAAATCTACTCTATTTTTTATTTTCCTTAAATATGTCCAAAAGTCAAAACGGGCGATTTAAATTGAGACGGAGGGAGTAGAAAATGTATCAATAATATTTTAAAGAAAATATTATAGTATTTTCTACATTAAAATATTAGTAATTGGGAACTCAAATATTTCTCTCCTCTCCTTCAAAACTTTCGGCCATCTCAACCCAAAAAAAAGAAAGACTTTTAAAATGGTGGAGAAAACATGGACATAAGCTAAACTCCAAAATCAAAAAGCTATCTCCATTCATAGCCATGCAATCAAAACACTTCAAGAGACATTATGTCATGTACTTCAAACGTACATGTACATACATTTCATTAATAATGTGTTTTAAAATTCTACCAAAGTGTATTTTATTTGACATCAATAATTTTATGACATAAAATAAAATACCCAAAACATTTTAAAACAAGTATATAAATATACTTTAAAATAGTTTTTGTCAAAATAATTATTTTCATAATTAAAATGACACTCCAAAATAAAATGTACATAATATAATATATAATGTAACATATATATACATGTACATGGCTAAATCATATTACTTACATATATGTATACACGCACTAAAGTAACCCATATACATATACATATATATGTAAGTGGGGTGTACAATATATATATATATACATATATATTATATTATACATTTTACTTTACTATTTTACAATATACAAATTAAATATTATCCCTTCTTATAATCCTACTCTTTAAATTGTCCAAAGTGTGTGACCCATATAGGCACTTATAAAACTGGCCACAGTATTGACTCTACATCAATACTATAAGTAATAAGCGATATCTAGCAACACATTATTACCCCCAGATTATAAGTTCAGACCTTTGCTCCGTCAAAACCTTTCTACGACTAAGACTTTGTATGATGTAGATCCTTTTGTCCCAATGTCTTAACTTAGTGCAGGGGATATAAAATATCCAACTTGTAGCCATTAAGTTATTTACTGATTAACAAGTCTGACTGATGAGAACAGATGTATAAACTCATCTCAGCATGGCCATGCATTTCTTCAGTCATACTTATCAGTGAGCCCTTACAAGACATTATTCTGCTTAAGTAGCAGTGACAAATTCTTTGTACGTAATCTACGTCTTCGAATATGTGCAGCGGCATGCCCAAACAAAGCCTGTGTACCATCCTTATTTCATACGGCTTAGGACAATGAATCAAAGCATGTGGGTTCACACATCCGAAGAACGTAATACTTCAAGTCTGAGGATCATTATACCAATAGTTGTATTAAGGACACTTAGAGCATAGACTAAAAGTCTAGGCAATGCCCTTAAGGTGGGTCAGGTCTGGCATCCTATTATTAACAATAATATCTGCCCGAGAGTAGATGCGAACACTCCGTCATTAACCAAGAGACTAGGTCAAACATCTAACTCTCACTAGTCTCACGTGCACTAACGATATCCCGCTCTCGTTAATGCTTCGACTATAGACCGTTTAGAATTATACTAAGTGACAAGATGTCAGTCTCAACATCAGAAGACTCATTCTGATAAACATCTTATAATATAATTCTAGGAATGCAATTAAGAGTTTACATTAGCATGAGATGTTTGTAAACTTAATGCATCTGCCTTTACATGATAGAAAATATCTAAGATATTACAACAGCAGTTGGCCAAAAGGGCACCAACTCCAACAATCTCCACCTGCACTATGGCCAATCTGGCATCGGTCGAATGCCCATTGACCTAGTGTGACCCTCATGCTTTAGCTTTCCCAAGGGCTTGGTCAGGGGGTCGGCTATGTTGTCGTCTGTTCCTACTTTGCAAATCTCCAAATCACCTCTGTCTACGATTTCTCGTATGATGTGATAACGTCGTGCTTGGTCTTTTGGTGAGATCGTGGTTCCTTTGCCTGTGCAATGGCCCCAGTGTTGTCGCAGAACAACGGGATTGGGTCATTAATGCTAGGAACCACTCCAAGTTCAGAAATGAACTTCTTTATCCAAACACCTTCCTTTGTTGCTTCAGCGGCAGCCATGTACTCAGCCTCTGTAATTGAATCGGCGGTTGTGTCCTGTTTAGAACTCTTCCAGCTAAAAGCTCCGCCATTTAGGCAAAACACATACCCTGCTTGTGACTTGTAATCGTCTCGATCGGTTTGGAAGCTTGCATCAGTGTAACCGACCACTTTCGGCTCTTCCTCACCTTCATATACCAGGAATGCATCCTTAGTATTCCGAAGATACTTTAGGATGTTCTTGACCGCTGTCCAATGTGCATAGACCTATCAACTTTCTTGACCTATCACGGTAGATTCTTATGCCAAGGGCATAACTAGCATTCCCCAAATCCTTCATGACGAAGTTCTTGCTCAACCAAGACTTGTTTCAATCCGTAGATTGACCGTTGCATCTTACAGACTTTAGCAGATTCACCAGCAATTATAAAACTGTTAGGCTATGTCATATAGACATCCTCTTTGAGGTTCTCGTTAAGGAAAGCTGTCTTGACGTCCATCTGCCAAATCTCGTAATCGTAGAACGCTGCAATCGCAAGCACTATCCGAATGGACTTTAGCATCACAACTGGAGAAAAGATTTCGTCATAGTCAATTCCGTAGATTTGTCTTTAACCTTTTGCCACCAATCTAGCTTTGAAGGTATGAACCTTCCCGTCTACGTCTGTTTTCTTTTTGAAAATCCACTTGCACCCTATGGGTTTTATCCCTTCGGGCGCATCAACCAAGGTCCAGACTTGGTTTGTGTACATAGACTCCATTTCGGATTTCATGGCATTAAGCCATTGTTCGGATTCAGGGCACGTGATTGCCTCGAGGTAGGTCTCAGGTTCGCCATGGTCTACCAGCAAGACGTCACCTTCATCAGATACAAGGAAACCGTATCTAAGCGGAGGATTACGCATCCGGTCTGACCTACGTGGTAAAACCTGAGCCGGTTGAGATACTAAATCTTGACGCTCGGGTTCCACTGCAATTGAGATCTCTTCTTGAGGTTCTCGAATTTCTTCGAGGTCTACCTTTCTCCCACTAGAAATAGCAGAGAGAAACTCCTCAAGGAAGGTTCCGTTCCGAGCAACAAAGATTTTGTTATCGGCCAGATGATAGAACTCATACCCTTTCGTTTCCTTAGGGTATCCCACAAATTTACACCTGTCAGATTTGGAATCCAGCTTACCAGACGTCATGAGGCGTCTAACGTAAACATCACAACCCCAAATCCTCAAGTACGACAAATTTGGTTTTGTCCCACGCCATAGCTCGTATGATGTGCTCTCAACAGCCTTAGATGGTACGCAGTTGAGTGTGTGTGCGGCTATTAATAGTGCTTTTCCCCAAAAGGACTCTGGTAATGTTGTCAAACTCATCATACTCCGAACCATATCGAGCAGCGTTCGATTTCTCCTTTCAGACACTCCATTTAATTTGGGGTGTACCGGGAGGAGTCATTTGGGATAAGATCCCGTGCTCTTTTAGATAGTCGTCGAACTCCATGCTTAAGTACTCACCTCCTCGATCCGAGCGGATGGTCTTGATACTTTTGCCTAATTGTTTCTCTACTTCGTTTCTGAATTCTTTGAATTTGTCAAAGCATTCCGATTTGTGTTTCATGAGATACACATATCCATACCGACTGAGGTCGTCAGTAAATGTTACGAAGTATGAGAAACCACCTCTAGCTTCAGTGTTGATTGGGCCACATACATCAGAGTGTATGAGGCCTAATACATCACTCGCCCTTTCACCGTGACCGGTGAATGGAGCCTTTGTCATTTTACCGAGTAAACAAGATTGGAATACATCATAAGACTCGAGGTCAAATGAATCAAGTACGCCAGAGTGACGTAACTTAGATATGCGTTTCTCGTTAATGTGGCCCAAACGACAATGCCAAAGGTATGTGAGATTCAAACTGTTTGGTTTGCTTCTCTTAACATCTACGTTATAAACAGTGGCGTCTAAGTCTAAGATATAAAGACCATTGGTCATCTTAGCAGTTGCATAGTAAATATCATTTCTGAAAACCGAAAGGCACTTGTCTTTGACGTTAATAGAAAATCCTGCTTTGTCAAGACAGGACACAGAAATGATATTCCTGCTAATNAGTAAACAAGATTGGCATACATCATAAGACTCGAGGTCAAATGAATCAAGTACGCCAGAGTGACGTAACTTAGATATGCGTTTCTCGTTAATGTGGCCCAAACGACAATGCCAAAGGTATGTGAGATTCAAACTGTTTGGTTTGCTTCTCTTAACATCTACGTTATAAACAGTGGCGTCTAAGTCTAAGATATAAAGACCATTGGTCATCTTAGCAGTTGCATAGTAAATATCATTTCTGAAAATCGAAAGGCACTTGTCTTTGACGTTAATAGAAAATCCTACTTTGTCAAGACAGATCACAGAAATGATATTCCTGCTAATGGCAGGTACAAACAAGCAATTGTTTAAATGCAACAACAAGCCACTGGAGAGAGATAGAACATAAGTTCCTACAGCTAGCGCATTGACAAGTGCTCCGTTTCCGACCTTAAGCTGGACTTCTCCCTCAGTCTAATGTCTAACTTCATGCAAATTCTGCATAGAAGTACAGATGTGAGAACCACATCCGATATCCATCACCCAAGAGGTGAAATCAGGCATGTTGACTTCAATAACGTAAATACCCGAGTTTTTGGGGTGACCCTGTAATAGGTCTCTTAAGCATTGTATGACGCGCTTCCATGTCCGCGTGGAGCCTTTGGAGCTCTGCGGTCATACTTGCCATAATGATACACTTAACATCTCGCGCGTCGTCCTCATACTTTTTGAAGGAAGTGAGTTCGGACACATGAGCATTTGCCTTAGGGGTCTTGGGAGGATTCGTTTCGAGGATGTAAAGTTTCCTCTCACAGTCAAGAAAGATTCCTAGGTTCTTCTCCCAGTCAAGAAAGTTTTCCCCAGAGAGTTTTTTGCTCTCGAGGATATACCGCTGGTTGATGGAATGACTTTATGTGTTACTCGATGCCATCTACAGAATGAAATTGCAAACTAGGTTATCTATCATGTTGAATAATTAATTAGGCCTTTGATTAATTATTTCCCACTATTTTAACAAACCAACAACCCTCAATGTTGATTCGGAGATTCTCCTAGAGATTCTCTTAATGGGCCAAGATCCATATATCATTAAATTCTAGTTGACCTGAGGTTCGTACCTAGAATTTATTTATTTAGGTAGGAACATAGTTCCAACTATCGAGCCGCGCTCACAGTTCATGGTCTTGTGTTGGGCGAACGACAATATTACTTACGGTCTTGTGTTGGGCGAACGACAATCCCTTAATATTTTGAGGGATTTTATATTAATTACGATCTCACCTACGACACATGCCTTGCATGTGTCAATTTACTAGCGTAAAATATACATTCACATGCATTCAAAATACGCAGTAAATAAACGTGTAATGATTGTGGCCCCTAAAGAAAAAATAAAACGACAGCTCCCACTGACTTCCAGGAATTTGGACTTCGGGCTATCTCCATTCCTTTAGATTCCCTCGAGTGGACTTCAAATCCTTTTATCTTCTAACCACCACATGAGAAAAGAATCTTCGGTTGAGGTCAGAGAGAGAAATAGATTTACAACGAGAGCTTTGAGATAAGTCACGGCACGCAGGTCGTTTTTAAATTACATCAATGATGAATAACTAAAGCCACAATCATCCACCATGCATATCATACATCCACACAGGCAATAGAGATATACATACACCGGGCGAACCGCGCTCGCCCACGACAATTCTAGAAAAATACTACGTTGGTAATATTTTCTAAAATTCATAAAAATTCATAAATTGGTCCAAAAATTATGAAACTTTACCAAGTCATCCTAAATATATTAAGAGACTTTCGGGCAGGGGCAAAACTGGAAAATAAATTCCCAGGAAACACAGAATTACAAAAATGCCCTTAGTGCAAAGTTTATTCCAAAATTCATTTTAAATTTGAAATAAATTTGCAAAAAACATGAAAATTAATTTCCAACTTCCAGTAACTATTTTATACATTTACAAATCAGAAAAATAAATTTCCAGAATTTATAAATATTTATTTCCCAAATATATTAATTATATCTCAATAATTGCAAAAATAATTTTAAACCATTTTTCAAAATCATTAAATTATAAAATTTAATATATATATATATATATATATATATATATATATATATTACTAAGTAATATATATATACCGAAATATATATATATATAGGATGACTTTTAAAATATTTCTCTCCTCTCCTTCAAAACTTTCGGCCATCTCAACCCAAAAAAAAGAAAGACTTTTAAAATGGTGGAGAAAACATGGACATAAGCTAAACTCCAAAATCAAAAAGCTATCTCCATTCATAGCCATGCAATCAAAACACTTCAAGAGACATTATGTCATGTACTTCACACGTACATGTACATATATTTCATTAATAATGTGTTTCAAAATTCTACCAAAGTGTATTTTATTTGACATCAATAATTTTATGACATAAAATAAAATACCCAAAACATTTTAAAACAAGTATATAAATATACTTTAAAATTGTTTTTGTCAAAATAATTATTTTCATAATTAAAATGACACTCCAAAATAAAATGTACATAATATAATATATAATGTAACATATATATACATGTACATGGCTAAAGCATATTACTTACATATATATGTATACACGCACTAAAGTAACCCATATACATATATATTATATTATATATGTAAGTGGCGTGTACAATATATATACATATATATTATATTATATACATTTTACTTTACTATTTTACATGTCTTAGTATTAAGAGTTAAAGGAGTTACTTGGCCATTTCATTTGCAAAATACTGGACTTACTGTGGGCCCATACATTGATTTATATGAACAGGGCATGCCTAAGTTAGTTGGGAATTGAGTAGCTAACAGTTTATGGACTGTAATACAGTGCAATGTCCCTTTGACAGCATTCTTTCCTCAAACAAAATGACACTATTAATATTTTATGACGACTGTTCTAGTGTCTTATAATGGGGGCAATAATCTTTGGAAACTAATGAGGTCAAAGGGCCATTACACTATATAATGTACTCCCTCCGTCCATGTATGATCTTCACATTAGGCGTTACGAAGCTTTTCAATTCAATTTAATTGATTATAGGAGTAAAAGTTTAAAATAAAATTTATATAGTAATAAACTACATGAAAAGTTCTACAAAACTAGCGGTGACAAGACTATATTATTTTATGAAATGACTAGTAAAATTGAGCAAACAAAGTGAGTAAAGTTGGACCCTGTCAATAGTGTCTGGGAAGATCTATGGTGGACAGAGGGAGTATTATGTATACTTAAAGGGTTTAACAAACGATAGTCAGGAACATTTGTTACCCAAACGTGATGGCCTATGAATATCCATTTCTAACCTTCACACACATGAAATATTATCAATAGTGTATATATATTTTCCAAAACCTTTTCTCTTCCCTAGTAAATTTAGTCTCACTCAATAACTTTTTGAGTAATAAACACTCCACATAGACACTAGTAGAACACAAAAACCCATTAGCATTGGAGGCTTAAAAATTACCTGAATTTGCAAGATGACTCCACCTGCAATCTCTTTCAGATTGTTCTCTCCCAAAGTTGTTCCACTGCTCACAAGGTCTACAATTGCATCGACTATCCCCATCTATATTAGGAAGAAATGAGGAAATGATAACAGAAACAACAACCTACCCAGTGTTGTCCCATACATTAGGGAACCATGATAGGTTAAAAAAACTTTTACATACTCAAAAGAAATTGAAAGTGTGATTGTATTTGAAGATCACCAAAAGAAATGCT